CTTGTTCTTCTTGTTGTTGTTGTTGTTGTTGTTCTTGTTCTTGTTCTTGTTGTTGTTCTTGTTGTTGTTCTTGTTGTTGTTGCTGCTGCTGCTGTTGTTGTTCTCCTCCTCCCTTTCCAACCCTGCGACCTCCAAAGCTGATCTGCTGATCCCCCGGAACGCACCAGCGCCCAGGGTCTCCGTACCCCCGAAGGCCAAGGCCCCAGAAAGCACGTGCAGATCCGCTTCGGACATCGCTGGGTCAGAAGAGAAATACACACATACATTTCCAACACAAGAACAGGTCACCACTAAACCTTTGTTCTTACGTTCCAGGCCCCTAGGCCAGGGGTCGGCGGCAGGGGGCGTAGCCCCTTTAATATATATATATATATATTGTATTATGATGATTATTATTATGATTGTTATTATCATTGTTATCATTATTGTTTTATAGTGTATATACACATAAACCGACTAGTTCAAAGCAAGAGTTTGATACTTACAAGAACAAACACTAAAGGTCTCTATTTGTTGGCACAAAAATGCGCGGAGAAAACTTACGAGCTTTTTGTTATGTAGCGTCCCTTTACCGACGTCCAAAAAATGCCAAAAATCAAAGCATTGAAGCAACTCACCAAGCTCTGCCAATCTTTGCCAAGCTTCACCCTTAATCAAACATGGCTGGGAAAGCCTCTATGCTGCTTTATGCCTATACATGGAGGTTTATATATAGCTGGGAAAAGTCCATGGAGGATGTTGAATTGCCAGGTTTGACTAACGGAGGGTAATTACCCAAAAAAGTTGTATCCCCCATTAACTATAGATATATGAGAATTAAGGTTTATAACCCCCATTAACTATAGATATATCCACCATAAACTGATTTCTTTCCGTCCAAGCGACGCTGGCGATCAAGAGGTCAATGAGATGCACACGTCTGGCCCAACTTTGGGCAGTGCGCGCCCGAAGCGCCTGGGGATTGTGGTCAGCCATGGTTGGTCAAAAGTAGACCATGTACCCTCTGTCACTTGAACATAGCTATTGGAAATGGGTTGCATTTGTTTTTTGTTTTTTTTTCCCGTGTTTTTTTCCCCCCGTTTTTGGGGTTTGATGGTTTTCATTGGTATTTGCAGCTAAGCTCTCTGATTATCGCATGGTGTTTGTTACATTTGGAGTTTGGATCCCCCAGGGGCATGATGAAAATGGTCACGAGGTGAGCTAGAAGTTCAAGGGGCTGGGGAAATGGAAAAAATAGATTCAGATACAATGTGGGGCCCCCAAGATAGCTAAGTTGGTTTATAAGTCCAATAACTGTGGTTTATGGCATTTATAACTATAGTTACTGGGGCTTATAAACCAACCTATAACTGGGGGGCCCCACATTGTAGGTTATGAAATCATACAAAATAAGATCGGGGGCGGAATTAAGTTGGCAATTTGTTTTTTTGTCGTCCAGGTTCCCTTCCTTGGTTTTTGATGGTTTTTGCAGCTAAAATCTCTCAATTGCTGCATTTTGTAGCTAAAATCTCTCACTCGCACTGTTCATCAATTTGTCCACTGGTTTCAGAATTTGTTCCATAGTTTTTATCGAGCTGTCCATGGTTTTCACTGATTTGTCCATGATGTTCATAGATTTTTTCCATGGTTTTCTTCATTTTTCCATGGTTTTCTTCAAATTCCATGGTTTTCTTCCATTTTTCAATGGTTTTCTTCAATTTTCTATGTGTTTCTTCAATTTGTGTATGTTTTTCATTCAGATTTCACTTGTTTTCATTGATTGTTCCAGAGTCTTCATTGATTTTTACATGGTTTTCATTGATTTTTGGAAATACACGCTGTGCAAACTATAAATTGTAGATGTATAGAGGTATACTTGCATGACTAACCATGACTATATGTACGAGTATATGTAAATCAGCGTATTTGCAAGTGTATTTAATATATATATATATATATGTATATATATATGTATATATATATATATGTATGTATATATATATGTATATATATATATATGTAAATACGCTCTGGTAATTTAACATAGCTATTGAACATGACCATTTATAGTTGGTTTACCGGTTTAACTATTAAAAATGGTGATTTTCCATGGCTATGTTAAAAAACCAGATGGTATATATGTATATATATATATATATATATATCAGGGTTTGGTTTAGGGTCTATTTAGGGTTCGTTTAAGGTTCCTTCCTTCCTTCCTTCCTCCCTCCCTCCCTCCCTTCCGCCCTCCCTCCCTGCCTTCCTTCCTTCCTTCCACCAGAAAACGGGAAACAAACCTCAAAAAATAACCCTCCATTAAAAATTGCCCATCAAAAGTTCGTTGATTTAATTATTGAAAAGTTATTGTGATTTTCCATATAGTTTTTTGTAAACGTTTACCAGAGGGTAGACCCCAAAAAAGATGCAGAACAGCTTCAATTCATCCAACCTGGCGACCAAAATAAGCCAAGATCTAGATCCATGGATGATAAATGGTTTATTTCATGAAACATCCGCATCTAAAATGGATGATTTGGGAAATTAACTAATATCTGGGTAAATTATAATAATTCACTAACCTGAAATAAGGCTCATTTCCTTCCCAAAAGAGCCCGCGTCCAGCAGCAGCGGAACGCGAGCTCAGTGTCCAAGGCACTCAGCCCATTGGCCGGCAACAGGTAGTAAAACAATCAGCTTAGCTGATAAACCCACTAATGCCTAGTCTTCGATGCCCTTCTTGAGTATTTGAACGTATCGCAAAGCGCTATCCAGTCATATTCTTTCATTGGTTGTTGTCTGGGCTGCAACCATTCAGGCTTGAATGGGCAGTCATATGATTGTCTCCCTTTCATATGTTTTTGGATAAAGTCAGCCACCAAATCTTGGAAAGGAAATTGAGGTCTTGGGGACATACCACTGACACTTTGTCCGAAACCCTGGATGTACAACGCAGTTTGAAGTCCTTTGCCATATCTGGGTCTGGCGGAAGGTGCCACAAGCAACATTGCTTGTGCCCACATCTTTTGCATGGTGGCAGCACAATCTGTCAGGCTGACTGCAAACGCAGTCACATCTGCATCATCTTCAACCATCAGCAGCATAGTCTTCCCTTGGTTGTTTTTCCGAAGGATGGGTAAACATTTATGAGTAAAAATGGAGAATGAAATCATCAGCTCCAACCAAGAAACCCCAATCTCTTTCTCGAAGGGCCCTTGTGGCTCTGAAGGCCATTGAAATTGTTGCATCCAAGCGTAAATGTCTCTGGCCCATTGTTCTCCCCATGAAAACTGAGTAACCCAATCCAAATTATCCAAAGGAAATTGCATCGCCTGCACATCTTGAGGGGTCCATGTTTTGATGCTGCTTAAAATGGCTGCGGGTGAGTTTTTGGCCTGGGCTGGAACACACTCAGCATCTTGGCGTGTCATTTGCTGTGACATTTGAGCCCTGGCTTTGAACAAATCCAAATGCATTTGAAAACATTGAGCAAGCAGGCGCCTTGCTTGATCTGTTTCTGCATGGAAAAGGTCTAGTTTTATGTTCACCGCTTCCAGCCAGATCCTATAAAACCATGGAATATTTTTTTCCGCAAAAAATGTGAAAAATGTAAAACAAAAAAGCAACCCAAAAAAAAAAGCAAATCCAAAAGCAAAAAAAAGCAAAAAAAAATGCAAAAAAAAAATGCAAAAAATGCAAAAAAACAAAACAAAATACAAAAGCAAAGGCAAACGGAACATATAAGAAGCAAAACTTCAAATCTCAATCTGTATTTGGTTGCAAAAGCAAATACCTGACCTCATGCAAACAAATATTCAAATTACCAGCAGCAAGCAAGAAAAACATGGAACAAAAACTTATTCCTTCTATTCTAACAATGATAATGATGTGATTAAAAATAAATGGGTTTAACTTGGAGTGACCCCCCCACTAACAGTGGAATAATGGATTTTAATTGTAACTTCCTAGCCAAAATTGCACAACAACCCAGGGACCAAAACCACAAACAATTTGAGAGGCCCAATCTTCTCAATCCAAATTGGAATTTGCAGAGATTTTGCTGGATAAAATCCCTTTTGGGCAAAGGGAAACGCAGCAGTGCAGGGACGAGTTTGCTAAGGGACAAATTTTGCTCAGGGACAAATTTTGCTCAGCGACAAATTTGGCTAAGGGACAAATTTTGCTAAGGGACACGTTTTGCTAAGGGACACATTTTGCTAAAGGGACAAGTTTTGCTAAGGGACAAATTTTGCTTAAAGACAAATTTTGCTAACGGGAATATTGTGCTAAAGGGAAAATTTTCCTAAGGAAAATTTTTTGCTTAAGGACAATTTCTGCTGAAGGAAAAATTTTGCTAAGGGAAAAATTTTGCTTAAGGAAAAATTTTGCTAAGGGAAAAATTTTGCTTACGGAATTTTTTTCTAAGGATTTTTTTTGCTTAAGGACAAATTTTGCTAAAGGAAAAAAATTGCTAAGGGAAAATTTTTGCTTAAGCACAATTTCTGCTAAAGGAAAAATTTTGCTAAGGTAAAAAAATTGTTTAAGGAAAAAATTACTGAGGGACGCGTTTTGCTAGGGGAAAAAAATTGCTTAAGGACAAATTTTGCTAAAGGAAAAATGTTGCTAAGGGAAAATTTTTGCTTAAGGACAAATTTTGCTAAAGGAAAAAACTTGCTAAGGGAAAATTTTTGCTAAGGGAAAATTTTTGCTTAAGGACAAATTTTGCCTTGGAGGTAGGAGTGCTGCAATTTTTTGAGGTGCCTCCAGGCGGTTCAGTGGTGAGTCCCTTTTTTTTCCCTTTTTTTCTCTTTTTTTTTGCTTTTTGTTTTTGCTGCTCTGGTTGGGTCGCATTTTTTTTCGCATTTTTTCGCACTTTTTTCGCATTTTTTTCGCACTTTTTTTGCATTTTTTTTTTGTGATTTGCTTTTTTTTGCATTTTTTTTGCATTATTTTTGTGATTTTTTTTTTTGCATGTTTTTTCGGATTTGCATTTTTTTTGGCTTTTTTTTGCATGTTTTTTGCATTTTTTTCGCATTTTTTTTTGCTTTTTTTTTCAGCTCAAAAAAATTGCCATGGAGTGACTCCTCTTCGGCGAGGTAGTCACACATCTCTGCCTGCCTGCCACGCGGAGTTTTGGCAACCAGCACTCGATCAGCTGGAGCTTACGTTCCTTCCGTGAGGTCTCTGTTCAAAAAATTGTTTACCCAGCTACGTGCTAGCTAGCAGAAATTGTCCCTTAGCAATTTTTTTCCTTTAGCAAAATTTGTCCTTAAGCAAAAATTTTCCCTTAGCAACATTTTTCTTTAGCAAAATTTGTCCTTAAGCAATTTTTTTCCCTTAGCAAAACGTGTCCCTCAGCAAAAATTTCCCTTTAGCAAAAGTTTCCCTTTAGCAAAATTATTCCCTTAGCAAAATTTTTCCTTCAGCAGAAATTGTCCTTAAGCAAAAATTTTCCTTAGGAAAATTTTCCCTTTAGCACAATTTTCCCGTTAGCAAAAAATTTTCCTTAAGCAAAATTTTTCCCTTAGCAAAATTTTTCCTTCAGCAGAAATTGTCCTTATTCCCTTTAGCACAATTTTCCCGTTAGCAAAATTTGTCCTTAAGCAAAATTTGTCCCTTAGCAAAACTTTTCTCTTTAGCAAAATGTGTCCCTTAGCAAAACTTGTCCCTTAGCAAAATTTGTCCCTTAGCCAAATTTGTCGCTGAGCAAAATTTGTCCCTTAGCAAAATTTGTCCCTTAGCAAACTCGTCCCTGCACTGCTGCCTTTCCCTTTGCCCAAAAGGGATTTTATCCAACAAAACCTCTGCAAATTCCAATTTGGATTGAGAAGATTGGGCCTCTCAAATTGTTTGTGGTTTTGGTCCCTGGGTTGTTGTGCAATTTTGGCTAGGAAGTTACAATTAAAATCCATTATTCCACTGTTAGTGGGGGGGGTCACTCCAAGTTAAACCATTTATTTTTAATCACATCATTATCATTGTTAGAATAGAAGGAATAAGTTTTTGTTCCATGTTTTTCTTGCTTGCTGCTGGTAATTTGAATATTTGTTTGCATGAGGTCAGGTATTTGCTTTTGCAACCAAATACAGATTGAGATTTGAAGTTTTGCTTCTTATATGTTCCGTTTGCCTTTGCTTTTGTATTTTGTTTTGTTTTTTTTGCATTTTTTTGCATTTTTTTGCGTTTTTTGGTTTTTTTTGCATTTTTTTTGCTTTTTTTTTGCTTTTGGATTTGCTTTTTTTTTTGGGTTGCTTTTTTGTTTTACATTTTTTTCACATTTTTTTCACAAATAAATTGATTTTCAAGTTTATAGGATTCTGCCTAAGTGGTGAACATAAGTCTAGTTCTTTTTTCCAATCCGGGGTTAAGTTGCCACAGGCTGTTTTGGCAGCTTCGTCTGCTAAGTGATTGCCCAAAGCATGATATAAGTCAAGCAAGTTATCTATGTCCTTGAAATTCCGATGAGCTTTGATTTTTACAAACCTATCAGGATCCGGTTGCATGGCATGAATGTCCCAAAGAAGGTCTGCATTGGCCATGGCATAAAACTTGGATGTGTCATGCACAGCAAGTTTGGCGCGCCCAATGGCATACTGGCTATCGGAGTGGATGATACCATAAGGCAAGGATGCTGCAAGCTTAAGTGCGGTCAATTCAGCCCTAGGGATATTTTGGATACCTTGAACTCTAGCTGCAAAACATGTGGTGAGAGTATTAGGAAAGTTACCGGTGTCCAAAAAGTTTTGAGCCAATTCACATCGCTGCACATCATGTTGGGCAAGGTCGATTACTCCAGAGTATGCTGCGTATCGGGATGTGGGATGTTGCGGGTAGCAACAACTGCCGTCTGTGTATATGTGAAAGGGTTGTTGTCGATGTTGTCGTTCGATGGCAAAATCAAGAAATGTTGACATGATGATAGCTTCAGGTTGCTGGTGGTGAAGCAAGTGGTGCAATTGCATGTCTGCATGTGAGTGGATTACTGACATCTCGGCAAAAGTCAAACCTTGCTCATCAACTTGGCTTAGCGCTAGTTCATATGGCTGTCGAACATGGGCAAAGGCAGCGCATTCTGCAAATCTATGTGTCTTGCTGTCTTGTTGTTGACAGAATGGGCATAACCCCTCTACCTCATCAATCCAGTGCGCCTTTTGGGATTCCAATTGGTAGGCACCTGCAATTTCTCGGAGAATCTGGCGCCGATCATTGTCAGGGAGTTGTTTAAGGATGGCAATGGTGTCACATCTGGAAATGTCTGGCATGCAGAACAAACTAAATCGGCTAGTGAGCATCATGATTAGCTTTTGTTGCCACGCAAGGCAAAGAAAGTGATGAAGTTTGGGGAAACCATCTTTGACCAGGTGACATTTGATAAAACCATCGATCAACACGTAGCCGTCTGGGTCAACATCCCATGATACTTTGCGCAGGTAGTGTTTGAGAGTAGAGGCTGGCCCCTGCGCTTGTTTTGTGCCCCCTTGAAAAGATGCCGCAATTGCAAAAAAGGTCTTCTGGCGCTTGGAATCTGTTTGGATAGCCATTGAACTGCAGTCCTAAGAGCTTGGGAGATAACAACAAATTCTGGGTCAAGGATTGACCCTTTGGTGAGGAATAACACCAGCGCTGGTGACATACTTCTTGATTGGCCTACCAATGCTTCGGCTGCAGCTGATCGTACTTTGGCAAGTTGATCATTGGCAACTGGAAAAAGTTCAGTTCCATAAAACATGGCTGGGAAAACACTGCTGCGCAGGATATGTTCTTTTGTGGAAAGGTCGTTAGGCAAAGTGGCTAGTCTGTGGAGTCTAGTGATACCATTTTCATGCCTGGTTTTACGACTTCCCAATTCGCGCACTCCTGAGTAGTGTAGTTGAAAGCCAAGGTCTTTGGCAGTATGCATTCTTTCCACCTCAGTATCTGGCATTCCTTCCTGTAGTGAACTCACGGCCAAGTCCGCTGTTTCGGTGTTGGTGGCCCATCGCCAGGTCTTTTCCCAGTCTATTTCCAGGCCACAAGCTTGGGTGACCTGAATTGTGGCTCGTGCAGCAGGGCCATTGTCATATGCATGGTTGGAGTGCCATGACCAGTTATCTGCATATGCCGCAGCTTTGAGGGCCGGACTGGAGACCTTTTCAACATTGGAGGTCCAGAGAAGGGCTACAGCTAACATTACCAGCACTGAGTGAGCGTCCCCTTCTGGAAATCCGCAGGAGGAAGTGATCGGCCCGAATGATTGGCCATTTATTTCCCAGAAACGAGTCATGTTTTGGATACTTTTGAGAAACTGTCTAACCCTGAATTCAGGCAAGCCCATATGTAAAAGGAGTCGTCTGCCCGCTTCATGCCGAATACAGTTGAAACATTTTTTGATGTCAAGGGTTAGGCCGGATGCCTGTGAGCCTTGAAACTTGACCATTTCAATCAGCACCTGCATGGCATAGGCGGCATCATGGGATCCTCTGGACGGAAGCATACCCGTAATGGATACAGGAAAAAAGCTAGCCCAAAATTGCAGGACCTGCGTGCAAAAAACACTGGCAAACAAACGGTAGATCTGGCTTAAGATGCAGATGGGCCTGCTTTGTTTTGGCTGTGGTACGTCATCTGCTTTATTCAAAGGGCAAACCCTAGTCCGCATAAACCAAGTGGGAAAACCGTCAGGATAGTTATTGCACACATGGATCAGTTCCTCAAGCATCTCTGTTGGCAGTTGTTTGAGTTCTTGGGCTGACACTGCATCGAAACCTCTGGCTGAGGATGCACGTAACTTTTTGACTGCCTGTTGCCAAGCACACAGGGAATCATCAAATTGGAATCCTGCAGGGGGTGTAGGCATGTGTCGCATCAAGTTTTGGAATTCTGGCCATTCCTCATGACTGTCTACGTGGTGTTCTGCTTGCCACATGGGAATCCAAAAGGCCGTCAATTGATCTGCTACCTGATTAGGTTCAACGATGTATTGCTTCTGAGTGACTGTTGCAGTGAGTTCTTCACAGTTGGGCATGGTGTGAAATTGCACGGTAAAGCTGTGGGATTCCTGTTGAATGATCCATCCCGTATGGTCAAGGACCTGCACGGGTGCCAACATTGTAAACATTTGTGGATTTTCACAGAAACATTCAACCTGGTTTTTGTCGTAGTCTGGTGTCAGTATGCACTCAGCTTCTCCTGGGATAAACACCTCCTGGATGGGCAGAGCTGGTGCTCCTTTGACCTTGGCAAAAGCTTGGGATGATCCGTGAAACTTTCGATCGCAATGTCTGGCAAACTTGCACTTGTTGGAAAAAATGGCATGGTCTTGCGCTACCTGGGCTGACACACTGTGCTGAACAAACTGATTAACCTCAAACAACCATGCTGCCGTTGGCAGAGGCCACTGTGGGGATCCAAGTTCAGGAGTGTAAGTCAACCACTCATGGAATGGGGCGCCAAACGCAGTAGATTTGAGAATGGTGATCCATTCTTGTTGTGTCTCTGCCACGTATGTTTCTGACAGATCAGCTGTACTTTCGATTTTGTTCAGCCTGCGGTACAGGGATTGGAGTCTTCGAAGTTGCTTGATCTGTCTCTTGGTGGCCATTCGGTTGACCTCATAAATTGGGTCAAAGTCACCTTGTCTTGCCTTTTTGACTGCGCTGTATACAGGCGTTTTGACTGGCAAGCGAGGTTGGCATCGACCTCTATATGCCTTTCTCAAATGCGTCTGGCCATGTCCGTGGTGAGAAGTGGTATGGATGCTGGTGTCAACCAGTGTTTCCAATTTCTGCCCCCATGCTTCAAGTGTGGTAGCTTTGGGTATATGTTGATTGTCATTGTAAGCTTTTTGCAGGTCATGCATCTCAATGCCAAAATCTACCCAACTTTGTGGCAACTTCAGGGTAGTTTTAAACAATTGAGGTTGGGGTAACTGCAGGCTAAACATGACTGGGCAATGGGTAGCAAACCATTCGGGTGACAGAACTTTGATAATACCCACATGTGGTAACAGTTGTCGGGAAATGATAGCATTGTCCGGTCGAGTGACTCCTTGGCATGTTGGTTGCATTTCGCAGCCAAATTTCTGTCGGTGGATTTCGATGAGGTCTTGGCATCCTTTTTGTGTGTAAACCTCCCAAATGGGCAAGTCTGCAAGTTCCATGTTGAAGTCTCCACAAATGACATATGGTAAAGGTATGGATGAGGCTTGTTGAAGTGTCATAGTGAGCAAATTATTCAGGTAATCTTTGGCATTTGAGTGGGATTGGGGGATACTGTAAATGGATATGATTTGTATATGGGATTGACCCCAACTGGCAACGGCGTGGGTAAATCTGGTTGTTGACTTCCACTCCTCGGGAAGTGGGTTTCGGCATGGTCGGATCGGGACATCCGCAAGTATGGCCGTTCCACCTGTGCGACCTCTGGTGCTGGCTGCACCATTTTGGCACATCTTCTGGGGTGCAACAGGGTTTGACCAACATGTTTTATATCCCATCTTGGAGAAATCTTTTTGACTTTGTGCTTGGACCTCTTGAGTGGCTGAGGTTTCGGCCAAGCATAACACATTGATATGCTCCTGGGTGAGCAATTGCTGCATGGTGTCTTTCTTATTGGCCACGCTAGTTGGATTGGCTGTGGCAACATTGATAAGACACTGAGCGTGTTTAGGACCTGGATTTTTCGCTTCTCCGATACGCATGGCATGTCCCAAAATGGGCGATTGTTGATGATTGACATCGTTGGCAAGGCATTGGCAAAAGTATGATACCCTACCTAGCAATGCATGTCTGAACGCATAAATCTGGGCAAGGTAAGGCATGTGATCCTTCCCCACATACCCTTCCCTAGAAAAAGGTTGTGACATTCTTCGTGTCTGGCGGTTCAGTGCACACACGGCGCTCTGGTGACCTGGAACAGAGGCCTGACAAGAATTGCATGTGTAAATGTATCTGTACAAAAATCGGATATTGGCACAGCAATGCAAGCAGGCATATGCATGTTGAATTACTAGTTGGTGCTGACTTTGTAGTCAGTCAGACATGTCCTCCCCTTCATGGGTCGGACTCTTGCGCTTTGGGTTGATCAAAGCCTTCTTGAGGTCCATGAAATTACTCTCAAATTGCTTTGATTGGAGGGCCAAAGCTTCACCGAAGGATTTTGCCAATTCCTGCTTGACTCCATCCATTGTTTGGTGCATTGTGTGAATCAGCTTTTTCTCCGTTTGGGCAAGGTCGTCATGTACCTTTTTAATCTGACCTGTTTGCTGTGCCTGTGTATTCTGCAGGGCTTCGATTTTGCTCTCCAACTCTTGAACCTTGGCATCTTGCTGGGCAAAACGCTGCTCAATTGGGCCCTGTGTGGCTGGTGCCGTTGGAGTGGTTTGAGAGTTGCGTTGGAGATAATTCCACCATGGATCTTGATTGGTGGGTGCGGTCTGTGCTGTAGGTTGGGCAGCTGTCATTTTGGCTGTGCTGCGTGGGCCAGCCAAGATCGGTTGGACCTGGGCATGCTGTTTCTGGGGCATAAACCTTGGCAGCACTGGGTGGCCATTGAAGGCCAGTGGCCCGTTTGGTGGTGGGTTACTTGCACACACCAACCAGCTCTTGGGGCCTGTGGCTCGCAGCGGCCGAAAGGCCCAATTCACATGTTGGGCCCACTCCTCAAGCATTGCTGAGTTGCATCCATATGGAAGTGGTTCAATTTTGAAAATCTGCTTGTTGGCAATGTCAACTGGTGGCTTTTCATTGGGATGTATGGCTTTCCATGCCTCTGTGAACATGCCAGTGGTGACTCGGACTCCCAATGAGGATTTACCTCGGACTAAGCCTGCAATTCCTGCCAGTTTGGCTGTGATGGTAGCAGCTTTCGGATGGTCGGTTGTTGGTGCAAGCCAAATGATGCGAAAGTCATCCGTCAACTTGCCTGCTTCATTCTTGGGAACTGCCCAAATTCTGTTGTGGCCAGTGAGTTTGAGCACGTTGAGGAAATGATCTTCCTGGATTGCTGCATGGACCTGAACACTGGTAGCATCCTTAAAGGTGGCCAGTTGTTTGCCTTTCCGGTAGGATCTTCCCCAAATGCTAGTAATAGCTCCATGGATGCCATCATGTGCAAATACCTCTTTCAGAAATTGGGTGGTACGTTGGGTCGCTGCTTGCCATTCTTCTTCGGACCAATCTTGCTTCCACACCGTAAGGGAGCAAACACGGCTGGAAGTGGCGGTAGTGGCAACCTGTTCCCAGGGCTTTGGCTTGATCATTTTGGCACCAAATTGCACAAGTGTCACCTGCAGCAGGACCTGTTGGGTGTCACTATTGAAGCATGGGATGACAATCTGTTCATGTGGCAACGAGGTGTCAACTGGCATGGGGCCAAGGATCAGCATCGCAAGTTCATCTGTAGAGAGTTGTTGGTTCTCTCTCAACCATGTGGTTGCTCCTTGGGAATTGGTAAGGAAAACTCCTGTTGTGTTGCATCGAAACTCTTGAAGTTGTACTGTAGGTTGTCCATCCTCCTTCAGGAGGTAGCTGCAATCAACTTTGAAGTCCTGTGGTTCTGGAAAGGGTGCTTGCTTCTTCCGAAGCTTGCTTTTTTGCTGCAGTGAGGCATGCTGCGTCTTGGCAGGGGCTGCTGGCAGCTGGACGGATGCTTCAGTCAGGATCTGCTGGAGCTGACTGTCCCGTCTGTTGCTAGAAGGCTGCTGGATGACTGGGACAAATCTCTTAATTCCAATTTCATCGATGATTTTCTCAAGGTTGTTGTTGATCCAAGAAAGTTCAATGTTGTTTTCGAGCATCCAGCTGGCGATGGCATTCCTGACTTGCTGTTTCAATTGTGTCTTGGTTGCAGTTGGTCCTGCTCCTCCGCACATTTCAAATCCAAGGTGGATTGTGATCGGGCATGCATGAGTCCCTTCCCACTGCTGGAAGTTGCCAGTGCAGAATTGTTTGCCCTGGATGATCAGTCGAACTTGCCTGAGGTGTGTGACTGGTGACAGCGTATACATCAGCAGTGTTGTCAAAGCTTCGGCAGTGATGAATGGGTCGATCTTGCCTGTCCACAAAGGTCTGGATTTCCATTTGATGTTGATACTGACCCCATCTTGGCTCGTGATGGTGTCCAGGAGGCTTCGGGCAGCATGAACTGCAACACATGTGGTGAACTGCATTGGAGGTGTGGCTGCTCCAACTTCTGCAGCGCCAAATTCAACTGTGGTATGTTCTCCATGCTTGATGGAAACATGGCGACCCAAACTTTGCAGGGAGTTCTTGGAAATACATTTGGCAATGATGCTGGCAACGATCTGTCTTGATGTGTGATCTCCATGCAGTGTGCAAATCCATTTGTCGGAAGTATTGTCATATTGGTACACTTCTGTGCAGTTCTGAAAGGCAGCAATGGCCAATGTCACGTCAATGGAAGCACTTTCATGGTGGATCATGTTGTCCAGTATGAGTACATCTGGTGAGAATTGCATGGCTGGGGCGATGGGTCCAAATTGGTCGAAAACCTGGTCAGTGTTGCAAATCTGCTTGCAAAATGCATGGAGGCTACCGGATGCAAAGGCATACACTGTGATTCTGTGGTCTGTCATTACCACAACCAGATTGTGATCAATGGCGACGACTGCTTGTTTGTCGGCTTTCAAATGACACTCTCCATCAACGTAATGCACTTGGCAAGTGGTTTGCCACAGCGAAGAAAGATCTTGTGGCACTACATCTGCTGCAAACCAGAATGGCATCTGCCAGTTCTGCTGGTGCATCACTGCCTTGAGGGTGATTACAAACGGCTGAGTCTGGGTCATTTCATCCTCAGGTGATTCGGGGTCAAGAACTGTGACCTGTGACGCAACCTGGACCGTGTGATTTCCTGGGAGATCTTCATGCTCCCATGTCGTGTCATGGAATCCATCAAGGTCCCAGTACTGGTTGTCAGGGAGAATGCCTTTACCAAAAGTTTGGATAAAGTACTCCAGGTTCGAATGCTGGGCATCAGTGATGTCGTCATCATAGACCATGTGTCTGAGGACATATCCTGCCTTGCCTCTGTTGAGGATGGTATTGGAGATCTTGAGTCTGTGTGCTTCCCATGTGTTGAAAACATCCTTCATTGCAATGGGATGAGTGTCCGGCAGTGAGTTCAGAGCTCCAACCAAAACAATCATGGCATGTAATGGGGTGATCTGATTGCCGAGAAATCTCCATGCATCTGGAAAGTGCTTCATGGCAAAAAATCGTCCTGTGACCCCATGGATCATTGCAATTTCTGCTGGATGTAACAATCTTGGTCCTATGAGATCGTCTTGAATGAAGTGTGCAAGGCATCCTTTGGTTCGCAGCATGTCTGGGTTGAGTTTGTGCTGGCTACCATATGCGGCCATGATGACTGGCAACTTCTGATCCTGATGAAAAGTTCGAATCTGCAAAGGCGTCTGTTGGCAAGTCTTTTGCTTTTTACTGGGTGGCAAAAATTCCTGGCTTTGAACCACCTGTAGCATTTCTTTGGAAAGTCGGAGTTGTGAATCAATGTTCTCAGTCGGTGGAAAAATAGATTTGAACGTGCTGGGTGTGTGTTGTTGCGAGGCTTCACTTGGCATCTGTACAAGCTCTGAGTTTTGAGCATGTGGAAATGGTCGTTTATTTTGATTTGTGGCAGTCCTTGATTTCTCACGGTCAAGTGGCAATGGATGTGGATCAGGAACACCTTCATGTCTGTGTTTGGAATCCTCATTTGCGACCGGCATCTGATTTACCTGAGCAGAAGGCTGGCATGTAAGTCCACACTGCACTGGCATGTCTTGGTGTTTGCGGATAAACTCCTTGCTTTGGGGATTATCACTGTCACATGGTCCAAATGGAGTCACATTTCCATTCGTGAGAGTCAAAGTAACTGCAGGACTGTTGGGTGAAATGTCGATCCTGGGAGAAATCGCTTTCTTGGGTTCCTTCGTGAAGATGTCGTAGTGAAGCAAGATCTGTGTTGCCCTTGTCTGGTCATCAAAAATGTGACACGGGTGTTGATGTTGTAAGGGCGTCATGAAACCATCTGTGGTTTGCTCTCTGAGGCGATGGCACACTCCTGCGTTTGGCAGCACCTGGGCTGTTTGGTTTCTTTGTACATCTGTCTGGATCGCATCTGTCATGGCATGAGTTTGGTGGCATGAAGTGTGTACATGCAGGTTGCATCGAATGTGGTCATTCCCTTGTGCATTGGGCAGCGCATATTCTGGCTGGGTCTGGAAGGCTGTCAAATGCATTGGCTGACAACTCTGCAAATGGGTGCATTGAAATGAGGGTTTGGTGGTGTCATTGGCACTTGGTTTGGTATCCAGCTGAGATGAAACTGTGGCATACAAGGCAGCATGTTGTGTCATGGCGGAGTGGCCTTCCACATGTTGGTCACTCATTTGTGCTGGCACTTCGGATGCTGGAAGTTTCGTGTCGGCTTCTGTACAAAAATCGGATGTCGGATGCTTGGAAATCAGGTCAGGCATGTCAATATGGGACGGATGCATCGGCTGCAAACATGGCTGCGGAGTGGATGTTTCGAATGCAAAAACTGGCACAGGTTTTGGCGAATGCATCGGCAGACCGGATGTCGGATGCTTGGAAATCATGTCAGGCAGGTCAATATGGGCCGGGTGCATCGGCTGCAAAGATGGCTGCGGGACGGATGTTTCGGATGCAAAAACTGGCACAGGTTTTGGTGAATGCATCGGCAAACCGGATGTCGGATGCTTGGAAATCATGTCAGGCAGGTCAATATGGGCCGGGTGCATCGGCTGCAAAGATGGCTGCGGGACGGATGTTTCGGATGCAAAAACTGGCACAGGTTTTAGCGAATGCATCGGCAAACCGGATGTCGGATGCTTGGAAATCATGTCAGGCAGGTCAACATGGGCCGGGTGCATCGGCTGCAAAGATGGCTGCGGGACGGATGTTTCGGATGCAAAAACTGGCACAGGTTTTGGCGAATGCATCGGCAAACTGGATGTCGGATGCTTGGAAATCATGTCAGGCAGGTCAATATGGGCCGGGTGCATCGGCTGCAAAGATGGCTGCGGGACGGATGTTTCGGATGCAAAAACTGGCACAGGTTTTGGCGAATGCATCGGCAAACCGGATGTCGGATGCTTGGAAATCGTGTTAGGCATGTCAACATGGGCCGGGTGCATCGGCTGCAAAAATGGCTGCGGAACGGATGTTTCGGATGCAAAAACTGGCACAGGTTTTGGCGGATGCATCGGCAAACTGGATGTCGGATGCTTGGAAATCATGTCAGGCAGGTCAATATGGGCCGGGTGCATCGGCTGCAAAGATGGCTGCGGGACGGATGTTTCGGATGCAAAAACTGGCACAGGTTTTGGCGAATGCATCGGCAAACCGGATGTCGGATGCTTGGAAATCGTGTTAGGCATGTCAACATGGGCCGGGTGCATCGGCTGCAAAAATGGCTGCGGAACGGATGTTTCGGATGCAAAAACTGGCACAGGTTTTGGCGGATGCATCGGCTGCTCACTTGGCTGTACACGAATGTTCCCTGACTGCTGAAAGGACCTTAGTTGATCAGATTCTTCCTCGGTCTGTTCAGGTTGTTTGGAAATTCCAGTGGGAACAGCATCAATTGGGGGGATGTCACAAACCTTTCGCAAAAGAGCAAGCCACCTACTCCTAGTGACAGGTCCAAATGTCCCATAATCACTACTACGACTCCACACCACTGCATATCCAATCATGGAAATTGTTTTCATGACGTGAGCCCTGTGGTCATGATTGTTGAAACCTGTGACCTGTTCCAATCCTATGACCTGTGGTTGCAACAGACGAGCCTGCAACAATGCTTCAGGAAAACTCAACCGTTCACATGTGTCCAGTCCTTTGGATCGTCCTGCGCCTGACCATGGTTGGCACGGTGGACTAATGGTAAGGACATGTGGATGCCACTGTGCGGCCGCAGACATCCAGTTACTGGACAGCACATTTCCATGAATGACACAACCCTTGGACAGTCGGGACAATGCATTGGCAGGGACAGGTACATACCCATTGACAATCGGGACCTCATGATTGGCTGCATATGTGGCACATGCAAGCATGTCTGCTTCAATGGCTACTGTTTGGGCCCTGACTCCATGATATGCTGTGAGGTGTCTCATGGCATACGTCCAACCACCAAATCCTCCTCCAAAGAAGGATAACACGTGTGTCACATCGTCAGAATGACGGTGGCCTCTTCGTCAATCTCGTAGTCGCATCCTTCACCAAATTCTTTTGCTTTTGCCGCAAGGCACCAGAAAAAATCTTGTGCAGATGGCTTCAAACCCTTGACATTCCACAGCACCGTGATTTCCCCAATTGGAGCCAAATCATCCCATTTCAGAAAATCTTTCACCACTGACTCTCCTGAGCAACCAGGTGGAACATACTCTGTTGCAGTCCAGAAATCATCATGAGAGTGAGAAATTTCTCCAAAAAGGATATTGGGTCTTCCTTTCAACGTATTGCGTAGGTTAGCCCCAGATGAACTTTGAAACTCCATGTCATACAACAAGTCTATCCACATAGGACATCCCATGGCACCGGTGAAATTGACTGGACCCAACGTTGGCACACCCAGGTGTGTCAGTCACACCAACTAGACGGTCTTGGGCCAGATGACCTCCTGAAATAAGGCTATCTTGGGGATGTTTCCCCTTACTAACTATGATTGTAGTGAGGGAGAACAGTGAGATCGTTATATTTTAACCAGAGATGATATTGGATGATACTGTGGATGGAAGAAATCCTGCACCAGTTGATAGATGGTTTATCCCATTATTTATAGGGTTTCAACCATCCAAGGTGGTGCAGGATTTCTTCCATCCACCGTATTTCACATGTTTACCCGAGGAAAACACCCTTTTTGACATGGCTAGCTGTCATGTCGTTTCCCAGTTTCGCCAGGGGACTTTCCAACCATGGTCACCGGCCAACCATCGTCCACCGACTATTGACCAATTTCTTCAGCAATGCCTATATCATCCTGAATAATGTTGATACTGGATTAAAAAAACCAAACGGCTGTTTAATTGGGGGGATACCATTTATGTATCATATTAAGTGACTATTTATCTATTTGGTATTATTACCCCCACAATTAAACAGCCTAGGGGTTTATTAATCCGGAGTTGACACTATTGTTGATACTGGCATTGATGAACAAATTAGCCAAAATATCCAGGATGTTGAATACATGACTCAGGTTCTAAAATCATCCTGTCAATGTTGATTGTGCAAAGCCAAAAATATGATGCCCGATCTGCTGGCGAATCTTCCATCATCTTTGGTTTTTTTAACGCGTCTCATCTTCCACCGGAGATCAAGGGCCTCTCCCCAGGTGAAGACAACTTTCAACGTATGTGAGTCCTGAAAGCGCTGGGATACGACGAGGATAGCTGGCCGTTTTTCGCAATTCTTTTGGAAGGGAAAACTTCAGCAAGTCTTTCATCTGCTACCGGTAAAAAAATCAACCTCTTTTTAAGGATCTATGTTGGTTGGTCGTTGATGAGTGGATATGTCATGATATATATATATATAGTTAGATGAGGTTTTAAAATGCTATAAACCAACAAAAGCCAGGAGGGGGCCTGTACTGGTACAATCTACTGGTAAAGCCTTCAAGAAAAATCGCTCCCACAATGGGAAACTTGAAGATTTTCCAAATATGTCGAATGCTATTCTACTTATTTTTCTGACCCCATTTGAGCAGTGTTTGAAACCATCTGTCGATATTTTTTGCTGGTTAAGAATGGATTTCCGAGCTCATGGAGCATCATCGTCTTATGTGGTTGTTTAATAACCACCAAACTAATCATCAACCAGCCACCATCATCAAACAGTCATATCATGAAAAAATAACAATAGTAATAATACATATTTCTACTGTTGTTAAAACAGGTTATTAAACTTAAATATCATCGACCAGTCGATGAAAACCCGTCGATCGTTCCGAACGGTTCGAACTCGTCTTTCCTCCAGTGTCTCTAGCACGCTTGGCACCAGCCCGGCACAGGTCACCTGAATTTTCACGGAGAGATTTCGGATGAAAATTCACCCGTTAACCATCCAGACCAGGTCAAAATCATTAACCATTCTATTATTATATCATCATTATATTCCAACTATCATTATATGTCCATAGCTATGTTAGATTATGTCAGTTTACCAGAGGGTAACCATCCATTCTATTAACCATCCATTAAAACCCATGGTATACCATGAAAACCATGGTTATTGAAGCTATTGGTTATTTGGTCAAAACCTACTATACCATCCATTAACCATCCATGAACCATCCATTAATCAGCAATAACCAGCAAGGAATAATTGTCATCCCCCCCGTTTTCGATAGCGTTCAGTTAGTGCAAATAACTTCAGTTTCACGTTTGGCTTTATGATACGCAAATAACTATAGACTATAGTATTCACGGGGTTTATAAACCAACTTATCATTGGGAGGCCCCACATTTTATTAACAACCATTACTTGCTGGCTCATTCCACTCACTAAGTGGGATGAGTCAGTAGTGACCATCAGTAATAATGACCATTAGTGAATGATGGTGATGATCAATAGTTAACCAACCTACATAGTTTAACAACTGTTGATCATCAATCCCTCACAATTTAGATAATAGTGGTTAATGATTAATACTATGGGTTAGTATGGATGAATAGTATGGATCAATATAATATTCATGGTGTGTCTGGGTGAATACTGGTTTAATAATGGGTCAATAGTGAATGTATAGTTATTCATGAACGAATAGATTGAATAGATCCATGAAAATAACTGGAATTGCACCCCTGATGAAAATTCAGGAAATCTATTCGTGCAATTCCAGTTATTTTCATCATGATTCAATAATTGAATCTCAGAATCAATTTCAAAATAATTGAAAAATTGATTGGATCCATCAGGCTGAATCTCCATAAAATTCAGGAAATCCATGGAAATCTAAACTGGTTGGTGGTGCAATAACCATCTTGAAAAATATGAGTTCGTCAGTTGGGATGATTATTCCACATATATGTAAAAATAGAAAATGTTTGAAACCACCAAGCAGTAAATTTCAGGTGTGATTCAATTTTATTGGGATCCTGCTTGGGATCCTGCTTCTGATAAATCATGCCATTGCAGCCACCAAATCCGAATACACATCCCATGTTTCTTAGCTTCAGAAAAGATCTTGTCCAACTATGGATAGTGCGTAGACATAGTGGATATATATATATATGGATATATGATGTATGAACTGGCATATATGATATAAATATATGTATGATGTATGAACTGACATTTTAGATGGAGCGTTCCTACAATGAAAAGGAACAAATCCATGGTTCGGAATTTCTCCCCCCATATCTTACTGGTGCTAAACGTAGGGAATGGATGGGTTGCTGGGGGTTGCTGGGATTATCATTAATAGTGATGAAATGGATCATTCCCGAAAATTCCCTACGTTTAGCACCGGTAAGATATAGATAAAGGTTTCCATTTTGTCATGGGGGTAGCCCTAGTTATCATCCATGAAATAGATGAGGATTTTCCATGAAATAAACCATCCTTTTGAAGGATCCCCCCATGACTATGGAAACCACCATATTTCGATTTCTTGGCAAATTGCATTAACAAATTGGTGGCTTGTCACTCGATCATCTCTAACTGCCTGGTCTCTTGAGCAAGATTGTTCCCCCACTTTCCGTCTCAATCTCCCTGCTTTTCCTGAAGGTAAGTTGGTTTATAAGGAGTAACGAGACTAGCATATATGGTAGGCCTATCTAAATTAATGAAAAGCAGTGTTCTCTCAACCCAGCCACCAGCTTCCGTTCAATCCTGGCTTAAGAAGGAGATTTTCCAATTCATGGATGATGAAAATCATCAAAATAGTACCCTCTGGTAATGACTAACATAGCTATTGAAAATTGCCATTTTATAGTGGATTTAGCCATTAAAGATGGTGCATCTTTCCATAGTTTTTTGTATGTTTACCAGAGGGTAATCTAGAACTGGGAAAAATGATCTATCAAACATATGCCCAGTTTCTGAATGCAAAACTACTGCCATTAGTCTACCTCTATAGACTTGCAAAACCCCCCAACATCTATCAACCAGCAGGGCTTTTGAACATCCATGATGACTGGTTGGTTCCATAATGTTCCATATGCCATCAAATATCCCAATGAAAATCATGACATCCCCCTTCTAAATCCCCAACAAGTCCCAAAATCCCCTGCCAATAGTATAATATATTATGGTTATTTAATGGTGGTTTAATGGTGGTTTAGTGGGATTTAGTGGGATGTACTGGTGATTTAATAGGATTTACCCTCTGGTAATTCTACAGCTATCGATTAAATGGCACATAGAAATTTCAGAAAGTTCGCTGATTTACCAAACTTAAAGATGCTGATTTTCCATAGCTATCTTACTTTTCCATAGCTATGTTAGGTTGTAAAATCACCTTCAAATCCTACAAAAATCCCAAAAAAAACCTGGAAAATCCTCACCTTCACCCCCCCTCACCTCGGTACTGGCAATGCAGTTGGCCAACTCCTGCAGGGGCTCTGAGTTTTTTTTTCACATCACAAAAAACGATGGAAAATCACCATTTTTAATGGGAAAATCCACTATTTCTATGGCCATTTTCAATAGCTATTTTGACATAACCAGAGGGTACCTATTGGACATGGGGAAAAAAAACCGGCCATATAATCCCCAGATACATTTTCAAGTCAAAATCTCCAAGTCATGGGACTTTTTTTTCCCTCTGGTAAACGTTTACATAACGAACTGGAAAGATGCACCATCTTTCATGGGTAAATCAACTATTTCCACTGGGCCATTTTCCAGTTCGCAAACTGAAATCGTCATTACCAGAGGGTATTATCCATTATATCCCCCAACAAAATCCTGAAAAAAAACCTAGCTATGTTAGTCATTACCAGAGGGTACCAAGCCCTGTCCTGGACATTGGAACAGTTGGCAAAGACCAACGTGCAGCCGCCAGCCCAGGCGATGTCCTTGGGCCCATCGGGTCGGATCTTCCGGAGGACGTGACCGAGTCGTTTCGGACGCCCGTGACGAACTCGTGGCGAGGGCCGTTTTTTTAGGGGAACAATGGGGACAAAACCTGGAAAAATGTGAAGATATGATGAGTTGCCAGTTTTTGAACTTAAGTTTATCATGTTTTTTGTTGTTGAGGTTTTTTTTGGTTTCGGGGGAGGATGTTCTATATGGGTTTGGTTGAACATGTTGGGGAAAAAAAACTTAAATCCACTGGCTAGTCATCATGTTCCCTGTTAACATGCTAGTTTGGGGATATACCCCATTCTCAGACAGATCCATGATGGGGAACATCAGAAAATTAAATTAATTACAGGTGATCATATATGGGAGTATAAATCCATATCCCCCTGATATAAAGATAGAGATGCAGCATGTTTGTTATTGACGTCTCTCCAGGGGTAGGTGGCTACAACGAAAATTCCTCATGCTTTATGGTTGTATATTAGCGTATTCTTAAGCCACACAAATTGAGGGGTGTGAATCTTCAACAGTGAACCCCTAACTGATGGTTGGTTGATCATGAAAAGTGGGGACCATCACACACACATGAGGGGTTACAGAACTGCTAACATGACGTTTTGAGGTTTTTTTTCCAGGAAACATGGGGGATATCTCCCAGCAATTACGGCAATTTTGGTGCTGATTTGTGCGTGTCTCGTTCCAACTTTTTATTTCGCATTTTTTGGAAGGGCTCGTTTTTGTCATGGTTGGTGTGTTCCAGGGCTGCGTTTTCCTTGCTGTGCGCAGCATTCTTGGTGTCAACCGCCAGAGAAGGAAACCCTGGTGGCTCCCAGCGATCTAATCAACCAGGGTTAATCCCAGGTGAACATTACATGAGATTGAAACCGCCAGTCAGCGTAGAGGACCTGGCGGCCAGGAAAATTCTGCATCGGCGAATTTGGGAGACCAAAAGCAGAAACATATTGTCTTGCTGAGTGCTTGGAGACCGGGTTAAAACTGGCAAAGATTAGCCATAATACCATCAGTAAGGATGGTTTCACCATTTGCGTATGGGACAAAATTGGGTACCCCAAAAAATCAGATGGTTTGTTGCTAAATTGCTAAACATATGTGGCCCCCTTGGTGCAATCAATTTTGACCACTAGCCATTTTATGAAAAATGATTCCATCACATTGGTCAAAGTCAAAATTCACCAAGGCACAAATTCTCCGAAAAGACTGGCGGCCCAATAGGCTGAATGTTGTTGCAAAACTCCTTAGGTCGAGAGATTTCAATCAGCTTGAGTGATCATCTAAGAATCATAACATCTGAATGTGTCCTAGAATGGGCTATACCTCCAAAAATACTAATGTCAATGTGATAGGGAAAATGATGCAAAGCCAGTGGAGGCAGCTGACTGAAAGGAACTGAAAGCTGCACTCTAAAACAATCTGCGACGGTGAAAGATCAATTTCAGCCTAACATACACTGCTCACAATATCTTGCAAGTATAGTTCATACATGTTAATTAATAGTATCCACTTTGATCCACTTCACAGCATAGATAGCTCAATTATTTTTCATAGTATCAATAGTATCCTATATAAGTTACATAAGTTACATTCAGAAAATTCAGTGGATACTATATATATATGATGATACTATACTATGAATATGAAATCCTAACATCAGGACCGGACCGGACCAATGCTACTCACCTCAAGTGCTGCTGGGAATCGATGGCTGGAGTCCAAAGCGACCACCTGGATCGAGATCGCTCCATTTTTTACGGTTGTTTGGTGAAATTCATCCCTTTCTTGCTGGAAATGTTACCAAAAAAAATAAAAATCCATCTTTTTCATTCTTTTTGGGGTGTACTGACAAACATGAAAAAAACGTTGCTAGTGCTTGATCATCTTTTTTTGTCTACTCCTCCCAGCATGATAGGGTAGGTATTCTTTATTGTAACACCACAGAGCCTGGCCGTGACACCGCCCCCCAAACTATGGATGTGTGGTGACAAAACAACTGGAGATGCAAGAAAACCTTCCAATCTTCTCAGGTCATTTGACCCTCCAAAAACCGGAGTTCCCAGTTTTAAATATCCTCCTTCCTACGGTATGACATCTCTCACAGGCCACTTTCCGAGCCTCATATAGTGCCATTGTACAAGATTCTATCCCACGAATTGGATGTTTATCCAAATATATCAACCATATCACAAAAAATACTGTTCCAAAAACCCTCTATATATAATTCTATATATATATATATATTATATATATATTATATATACTATATATATATATACTATATATATATGTGTGTACCCATCAATACCCCATCAATATCCCTATTAAGCGTGTTTGAATCCCTATTTCTAGGGTAAAATCGCAACACATTCCCCACCTCCTTGTACTTCACCACTTCCCACAGGGCCATTTGCTGCGTGGCCACGCAACATCTGGATGCACCAGTTGTACCTTTCAGGCGTAACTGGGGGGTTGCCAAAAAAGGGTGGTAAAAATCGTGCTGTCATTATTTGTACCATTTTTAGACCCAGAATATGGAGGCTTCCTAAAATGGGGGGTACCCCTAGATCATCAATTTGATTCCCTTATATAAACCATGGCCATTCGACAGGAACCGATTGATTGGAGGTACCGATTCCATATATTTTTGGCCTATTTTTTCAGGCCTATGTAAGGGAATCTCCCAGCAAAAGATGGCCAAAAATATAGTACTAACGTACCTCCATTTTAGGATCCTGAAGATCTCCCTTTGTTCTGAAGGATGATGACAGGCCTTCAACAGGCCTTCAAGTCCAAACCTCCCAAAGAAAAAGCCGTCTCGCAACCCCAAAAACGTATAATGTGGGTACAACAATGCCATAATCCACCCATGACTGGGGAATGGTAAGTTTACATCACCTATTTTGATGGAAGATTTCTCCATGATTTAACGACAACAAATCAATGTTTGAGAATCCCAAACAGACCACCACACCAGGGTCACCCAACCATCATACCATCCCCGGTCATCTGTTGCCTCCGGTGTATTGAAAGCACAAGATCTTTGTGGGATCCGCGGGCGGCGCGGTGAAGGAGTTGCCGAGCGGAGACGCGAGCAAGGAACGAAAGGTCACCGTGGGAACGAAGACGGGCTCCGGACCCAGATGCGGTTGCAGTTGTTCCCTGGGAAGGATTAAATGAAGATGGTTAGTAAAATCTAAGGGATATAGACTTTTTTAAGATATACTGTTTTATGGCTATCATAATCAGGATAAACTATTATATGATATATGTTATTAAAGTTAACTTGTATGTGATTGCATATATAATAGGTAAAGGTAGTATCACACCCTATTTTAGATAAAATAAAATCAACCAACAGGGCTTTCTGAAGCAGCCACTGCTGGCTGATCAGCGAAAAGTCGCTATTTCAAGGGGACAAAACCTGGCTTTCAGCACTTGATGAACAAACCCCAAACATTCCAGAACAACATAGAACAACCATTTTTCTCTAGTAGATGAACCAACATTTACTGGCTGGTGGTTTTAACATGGTTTAACCATCTTGAAAAATATGAGTCAATAGGAAGGATGACATCCCATATATATATATGAAATGGAAAATAATTCAGTTATGTTTGAAACCACCAATCAGTATATATATATATATTTATTTATATATCATATATCCCATCAAATATCCCTACTACTATACCACCAAATATACCAAACCACCAACGATTTTAAATATGTCACTATGTCTATGTAAACGGGGCCTACGAAAGCACATGGGGATGCACGGATCATGTTTGAAAAAACATCCAGGACTGAAGCAGACAACGTTGCTTTGAGGTTTGTTTTTCAACGGGGGGACGAAGTGAACCAGATCCCAGACACCAAAATCTAAAAGCCCAATCTAAAACAACTCCCAGGATGCTACGCTGCTACATGGTCCCAGGTGACATCCCTTGGCTTTGGATCTTCCGAAGATGGCCGAAGATGGCACTTCCGATTTTGCCAGTTTTGCCTGTAGTTCTCTGATGTTCCCCAGGTTTTTCAGGGACTTTGATTAATGGGAATATACCCACAAAATATGGCCTTATTTGGTACAGTACCTCCATTTTAGGATCCTGAAATTCCCATTGATTTGATTCAGCCAAGAAACTCCGAGTGCAAAATCAACACTCGTGGTTTTAACTCGCTGAGGATCCTTGGGTCAGATTGGGCCGATCCAGGTGGCGGTCTGACCGCGACCCGCGACCGGTTGGTGATCGCTTGGTGATCATGGGATGATCCCATGAATTTCACCTGGTTTCTTCAAGCTTAAGGGAATCATCACCCAATTCGGATCCATGGTGCTGCTATAGTAATGGTAACATGGATCCCATCCATATACCCCAGTCATGTTAGCATATATATATATATATACCAGCACCATGGATCCGAATTGGGTCATTGAATCATTGAATCATCCCAAAATCAGGCCCCTGAGAAGGTCATTCCAACCACGACTTCTTTGTCCAAGCCATCCTTTTTTGAACGATTTACCAGGGGAGAACGAAGCTTCACCTGCTGAGCACCTCCAAGAGGTTGGCGAATTCGATACCAAGAAGGGAAAAAACTTCATCTTGAGCTGAATAATGATGGATAGCATCTTCCTCCAGTTTTGGCTACACATCAACCCAACAAAATCCACATAAATCCTGCAAGCAGAGCCTACTTTTGCCCAGCTGCTGTTGATTCCGCAGCCGTTCGATATCCTGACGCTACGCGGTCTCAGGGGGACTGCGGGAATTGAACACGGATATGAAGCCATAAACAACAAAGCAGCTACTTAGGCACGCCCTGGGCATGGTAAGCCTCAGAAATTGATGTCAAGTCGAAAAGTTCTTTCCCGAAAGCAGCAGAAATGTGCTTCATGTCACGGTGGAACCAGGATCAGCAGGATGGGTAGGTGGACCAGGCTGAAGTAGACGCGGACTGACAGTAATGAGATGAATTATCTGATCTGCAGTTATGGCCCCAGTTATACCAGTTATAAGATGTTATAAGTACTGACAGTCACCCCATTTATGGAATGTATAATCCCATAGTTTCATAACCAGTTATAACTAATAGCATTAATAGCCATGGCATATAAATGGCTATCACTGTGGGAATGGCTTGGCAAGAATTCACCATCTAACATAAAAATAAAAATCTGGGAATCCAACACGGAACTGAAGCCAGAAACCCCGTGGCGGGGACACATCTGACCGCCTGTTGGGCAAGGTCGGTGCTCAATGCGACAAAGGGGATCTGGCAGAAACTGCAAGCGACGAAGAGCGTATAAAAATCCTCAGAGTCGCTTCAAAAAACCACTGGACTCCAACTGTCGGTGAAAAAATATCTTTTCTGGTTTGTGGTTGAGCCACCCCTCTGAAAAATATGAAAGTCAGTTGGGATGATTATTCCCAGTATATGGAAAAACAAGAAATGTTCCAAACCACCAACCAGTTTTCTTATCACCTGACGCTTCAAATGAGTGACGATTTTGCGAAGGGTTGACTTACGAGAGGGGATTTTCATGGACCAAGTTGTAGACTCCGATCCGTTCCCTGGATTCTTAGTGTCCAAGTTTTATATGTTCTATCATGTACTCCTTTTCATCCCAAATATGTTGATATTTTGTTTGTTATCTGTCTATATTGTTTGACTTTTCTCCCATGTTTTCTTCTTTCAAATCTTACCCCTTACACCTGGTCTGGATATATCTTGAGTTATCATCCTCCGAAGAAAAAACGCAGTTTCACCCATCTGCAGCTAATATATCTTCCTCTTCAACCCCACTTAAACATTACCTGTACTTGGCTTTTGTTGTTGAAGAACAACATGTTTACTGAAGTTTGCTGGCTCTTCAGCCATGGAAAAATCCCCATGTTTTTTTCAAAAAAAAAGTGGTTAGATAACCCCATTTTTTCCCCTCCATCCCGGTCGTCCCATTTTGAAAACTCATCGACTCATCGACTCCCAGGAGCATTGCCACGACGCAAGCCCGAAGCCAAGACGTCACCGTCACGTTTTAGCTGTGGAAGGTTCTGCAGAGTTCCCGCAATGTGCTTGGCATGGTGCTGCAACTCCTCGGGAAGAATAGGGAATTTCACGTGCGATGAATTTGGTAGGATGAAAAATATGGGAATTTTCACAAAATTTCTTATGGGATTTAGATAAGCTGACGCACACAACTTGATGAACTGTTGGATTTATGGAGATATAACGAACTAGTTAATGGGGCTTACAAACCAAACATCATTGGGGGGCCTCACCTTGAAATCTTTGAACAAATGGAGGTTTTTTGTCAACCCTGGATCAATAAACTACCCTGACGATCCCTGACGAGTAAATGGGTGGCTTACCCCAAAAGCCATAGCATGATAAAGATTCTATTTTATTCAAATCGGTACCCCTCTATTAGCCTCTATTAATAATTTGGTGCTTCATATATATATTATACACCAACAGTTTGATGCAGATAGATTTTTAATGGGGAGTCAGAAGGAATGGCCAACAATCTTAATAAATAATCATATACTTGTTCAAGAAACAGTGCTGGTTGATAATATTTGATGATTAGTTCTGGCGATTACCCTCTGGTAAACGTTTACATAACTATGGAAAATCACAGTTATGGGAAATTCATGGAAATTCCACTATAAATCACCATTTTCAATAGTTTCTTGTATGTTTACCAGGCCGGGTATCATCCATGAACTACTCCCGTCCACCAGGATGGAGAAGTTCACGCTTAGTTCACCCCAGAGGGTGGTTCACCACCCAGAGGGTACCTTTGAAAAAAACAACATCTTTCCAGTGCATTGGCTAAAAAGGGATTACCACCTATGATATTCAAACATATTAATCATCCATTATCATCATCCCATACCATTGAATCATGAAAACATACCGAAAATTGTTAAGGTTCATCCCTCTTATAACCTCTTATGAGTAGATATTGTTTTCCCCCAACCACCAAGTACCTTTTTTCTTTTGGAAAACAATATCTTTCCATTGCGCTCAGCTGTGGTTTTTCGACTGAAAAGAAACCTATTCAAATCTCCATGGTTTAGACAGTTTTGTCTCCAGAGATAAACCCCATTATACCCCATTAACTATACACCATAGCCCCCATAAACTATCGATAAAGCTCACAAATATATATATATACTGGGGTTTATAGATAAAACTCATAAAATCTCATAAAAAATTACTGGGGGTTATAGATATACTTCTCATAAAATCTCATAAACCCCAGTGATTTTCTCGACGTTCCCTGCTCCCGACGTTTTTTTTCGGCCGTCTCCTGATAGGTGAGCTGATCCTAAGCTCATCCCCGGATGGATCTGACGGATTTTTGGGGCGCGCGGTTGACCTTGTTTCTATGGAGAAACCTTCCTAAATCATAGGGGCTATTTCCAACTCATCCATTTTATCAATGGATTTTCTATTATACCATCTGGTTATGACTGACATAGCCATGGAAAATCACCTTTTAAAATAAATAAACGCTTTATTTCTATGCGCCATGGCTTGCCATCTATACCATGGCTATGTTACGTAACCAGAGGGTAAACCATCTAGCGAGCTTGGGGTACCCTCATTCTAGGACCATATGGTCAAGCCTAACCCAACCAGTGGGGCCAGTGGGGCCAGATTAGCTCGGGACCTCGACGGTATTTTTTTTCATCATCCGGGGTGGCCTGGCGACCTGGGAAATCTGAGATGAAATCCTCATCTTTCAGATATCATGGCGAATTTACATGGCCAATCTTAGATACGAAAAAAATGAAAAAAAAATGTTTGTGAACGTAGATAATCAGGATGAAACTACACATCTAAGATTGACCTAAAGATTGTCAGAACATGTTCGGATTTTCATGGTTCATGCATTTTCTGCATTTTCCAATGCCAGGTCATACGACCAGAGGTACAGCTCGAATTGCACGAAGTTGTCAGCTCCAACTGCTTCGATAAGTGCATGGAAGAGAGCCAAACTGGTTGGTGGTTGAGCCACCCCTCTGAAAAATATTAGTCAATTGGGATCATTATTCCCAATATATGGAAAAATAAAATGCATGTTCCAAACACCAACCAACAAACATCGAAGTTTTTTGTGGAAGTCTGATGGAAAAGAATGCAAGATCTGGAAGGACTAGAAGTTGGGAAGAAGTCTAATTCCTCCCACGACGTAATATTTCATGATGATGATGATGATGATGGTGGCGGTGGTGGTGACGATGATAGTAATGATGATAGTGATGATGATAGTGATGATGGTGATAATGGTGATGATAACGATGGTGCTGCTGCTGCTGCTGATGATGATGATGATGGTGATGATGCTGATGATGCTGATGATAATGGTGATGATGATGATGATGATGATGATGATAATGATGGTTATGATGATGGTGATGATGATGATGATGATGATCGTGATGATAGTGATGATAGTGATGGTAGTGATGGTGGTGATGAAAGTGATGATAGTGATAGTGATGATGGTGATGATGATGATGTTTATAATTATTATGATAGTGATAGTGCTGCTGCTGTTGTTGCTGCTGCTGCTGATGATGATAGTGATGATAGTGATGATAGTGATGATAGTGATGATAGTGATGATAGTGATGATAGTGATGATAGACATGATAGTCATGATAGTGATGATAGTGATGGTGGTGATGATAGTGATGATAGCGATGATAGTAATGATAGTGATGATAGAAATGGTAGTGATGATAGTGTTGATGATGATGGTGATGACGATGATTGTTATTATTATTATGATAGTGATAGTGCTGATGCTAATGATGATGATGTTGATGATGATGGTGGTGGTGATGATGATGATGGTGGTGATAGTGATGATACTGATGATAGTGATGAGAGTGATGGTAGTGAGAATGGCGATGATGATGGTGATAGTGATGATAGTGATGATGGTGATGATGGTGATGAAAGTGATGATAGTGATGATAGTGATGATAGTGATGATAGTGATGATAGTGATGATGATGATGATGATGATGGTTGTGATGACGATGATGGTTATTATTATGATAGTGATAGTGATAGTGCTGATGATTATGATGATGATGATGATGATGATGTTGATGATGATGATGATGATGTTGATGATGATGATGATGATGGTAATGATGCTGTTGTTGCTGCTAGAGTATTTGGAACCCTTCACCATCTTGAGCACCTTTCCACCTTTTATTTCACCGGTACCTGTGGTGCTTAAAAACTGATCGGTGGTTCAGCCTCCATCCAAATGTTTACATGGGATGATCTTCCACCCGTTTCCGGAATTGCTAAGTTGTGCCGGTTTTCCCGGAAAACACGTAGGAATCCTTTATGTATGGTTCTATTCAAAAATCACACAGACAACATCAAATCATATAAAATCTTTGATCACAAAAAAAATGGAGGTTTCCGAAAACTCCAAATCATCCAAACAAAAAAACATATTCGACCTATAAAATCGGTATATGGTCCATGGTGACTGGGGATCCCCCATGACGACCAAGGTACTGGCAACTCGCGATCCCCTTCGATGCGATCCAAGGCGGCTAAGACGTCACATGTCTCGTGCGCCAGCCTGGTTGGGGGTCCTTGTTCCATGGTCATACGACCCGGAGTGCATTGTTCCATGTATAAGTGGAGATATAAAGATAGTATAGCATATCATACCCCAGTTATTTATGGGATATCTCCAATTATGTATGGGTCATACTGTGGATGGTTGCGAAATCCTGTTGGTAAGTGGTTTATCCCGATATAATCACATCATAAAAAAGTGGTTCATATTTACCAATAGTAACCAACTGGTGCAGGATTTTTTCCATCCACAGTAGTATAGCAGATCATGCCCCAGTAATATATGGGATATCCCCAGTTATATATGGGTCATAAACCTTTTTTTCCATCTGGGATGCACATCCAAGTAGGGTACATTTTTCCCTGGTTTGCTGAAAAATCATCCCCATAAAAATTTCCCGTTGGGATCCAAACGTATTCTGAAAAGCATGGGGATAGTGCGAACCTACCCGTCTCATGTTCAACTCATCCCCATGTTTTGTTGTGGAGATCATCCCCTCACCTGTTGGAAACCATACAGGTGTCCAAAAATGCAAAAAAAAAAAACCGTGCGGGAAAAAACACCAACCAACATATTTTTTGGGGAAAAAAACAATCCACTGATGATCTTTTGGCTTCCATGATGGCTGATCCCTGTCAATCTCTTGATCTTTCGTCCATGGGGACATAATGGCGACGTGGGTGAGATACGTGAAGTATGCAAAAAACCGTCGAAGACCATCAAAAAACCATCAAAAACCGACTCCGTGAAATCTGCACGCGATGCCCAAAGAATTCGTCAATCTCCAAAAATGTCTTTGATGTAGACCCTTTGACCCATACCGACCATCCTTGTTGATATCCCATGATATCCCCATGCCATACCTAATGATCAATATCCCATATAACTGTCGGATTTTGTTGCCTTCAATCCGCATATTAGATTGACCGTTGATTTTCTTCAGTGGTGGTAAGAGATTTCAACATGTCTAACACTGTGGAGGACAAATCGATCGAACTTATGGTGAAATCAATGTTATCCATTGGCAAAAACTGGACGGGTGGGTATGGATATTACCTGTCGCTGGTTCAAGGGGGTCACACATGGTCACATCGGTATTGATCAATGAATCCCAGTTACTAAGTGGGTTATAATCATGTGAAAAAAACAATTACATGGAATATTTTTTCACCCTCTCTCTCTCTATATATATATGATTATATACATGTATATATATACTATGACACTATAACAAATAAAAAATATACCGTATACATTTATATATCATGCACAGAATATGGGTTACTTGCAACATAATGTTGGTTATATATCCTTTTTAATCCACACAGAATATAGCATAAGCATCAACCAACCATTTATCATTTATATCCACATATGTTTGATGATTAAAACCTACAAATGGTTTTGTCCAAAAAGATAACCCTTTTTAATCCACTGCTCAATCATGATTCTCCCTGAAGGGTATGCCTCATTTTCAGCCGTTTCCCCTGATGCTGTCCCCATGGTGTCATCGCCAATGAAAGCGCTGTGTTTTCGCAGGCAGCGGACGGAGAAAAATAAAAACATGAGCAGGTGGCGAATTCAAGCTACTTGATGTGTGAAAAAATAAGACGCAAAAAACACATCACCAAACAAAATTTGAATACGATATAATCTGATAATATTTTGGTATTAATAATGTTTTCGAAACAAGCACAAACCTGGTAAATGGAAACAGGTCGCAACCAGTTGCGTTTTGCTTGCTTGAAGTGGGTCATACTGGAGCTGGACCCCCAAAGATACCTAGGTTGGTGGAAATCCGCCGACCCCGGCCGATGGCAAGGGCTCAAGCAGTCAAGCGCGATGTGGGTGACTTTGGGGGCGGTCGTCCAATGCTATTTAACCTCTTCGAGACTGACCTTTCCGGCAAGCCCGGCCACGTTTTGAGGTCGGGTTTTGCACCTGCAAGGCCTCACTTTGAAAGCATGCCAGCTGTGTTTTGGAATCACATTCTTGGCGCTGCAGTAGGTGACTACCGCTGCCTTTTTTGGAGTCATGTTCTTGGTGCCGCGGAAGGTGACGTTAGGCAACCCGATGTTGCAGCGCCAACAACCGCCCGGCCAACATAGCGCTAAGGTGGGGCCCCTGGCCTGCTGTCGCGCGTAAGCGCTTAAATCTAGTCGCTCTGGGACGCTCGTGGCGCATTTGGGGAGCCGGCGGAGCCGAATATACGCTGGAAACCGACCGCCGACCCACGCACTAGCCCGACCGACTGAAGTCCTTGTAATTTACGGTGTTTCGTGTGTTTGTGTGTGTGTGTGAGGTCATAAAATCATCGATTTTTACGGCGTTTTGTGCGCTTGGACGAGCACAATTTTTTGTTGGCGAAAGTACAAAACCTGGTTTTTGGTTCCGCGGAGGGGTCCGGGAAGGAAAAATTGGCATCTTGGAGGTCTTTCAACAGAGATGGCTTCACATATCGCCAACATAGCCTCAACATAGGCCCAAAGATAGATCAACATGGGACCAACATAGGCCAACATGGGGCCAACATAAGGCGAAGACAAGGGCGAACATAGGCCAACATAGGGCCGACATAGAGCCAACATAGGCCAACATAGGCCCAACATAGGCCCAACATGGGCCCAAGATAGGCCCAAGATGGGCCCAACTTGGCCCAACATGGACCCAAGGGCGGCCCTTCAATCCGGGATGGTCTAAGATATCGCCAACATAGCCTCAACATGAGCACAACATGCTCCCTACACTGACTTCAGGCCGTTTCTCTGCCGGCAACCCGGCTGTCAGGCGTAAGCCCTTAAATACCTCCAATATGGTTTATGATGGTTTATGATGGTTTATGGTAGATATACCATGATATCTCTATAGTTAGTGGTGCTTATAAACCAATTTCAACTGTGGGGCCACACCTGCAAGTACATAGACCTACTTAGACCTCAATGTCCCCAGGTAAAATGAACAATGGATGCCTTCACTACAGGTGACACCCTCTGGTGAGAATTCAACAACCGATCCTTTTTGTCACTTGAGAGGACTATGGAGGACTATAGAGGACTATAGAGAACTATAGAGGACTATAGTTACAGTACTAGGTAGACTTGACATGACTTGACTATAAACATCTATTATACAATATTAATTATAAGCTATCTTACCACAACTATGTTTATCATCTGGGATGAAGGAAACGCTGAAACCGCAAAATCCATGCTGTTGAAGCACCCAAAAAAATGTTCGCCACCCGGCGTTCAAAACATCAGCAACTGCTGGTGGCCTCTCCTGTTAACTTGGAGGGATCAGAAAAACCATGCGCTGATGACTCTGTCACAGTGACATGGCCAAATCTACTTGGTGGCTCATCCCACGAATCGTAAGTGGGTTATAACTCCAAATATAAGTGGGTTATAACTTACTAAGTGGGATGAGCCACCAAATCTACTTCTTCAGAAGCTTCTTCATTTCAAGGTCCAATGTAAATTGCTCCTCCGCTCAGAGGGGAATCACCCCTCATGACATCGGGTGACTGAAACCATGTTTGAATAGTTTTGATGGTCGTGACGTGAAAAATGATCCAGAAGATCTGCAACCTACCCTCTGGTAATTTAACATAGCTATAGAAAATCACCATTTTTAATAGGTAAACCATCTATAAATGGGCCATTTTCCATAGCTATGTTAGTTTACCAGAGGGTAATTTGTTCGAAAATCGAAAGTTCATCATATTTTTCATCGCATGATTCGGTGCTGTGAGAAGGGTTGGTCCCCTCTTCACTCTCATCCAACGGTTTTTTTTGAAATGTCCCTTTGCTGACCACTTGTATTCTACAGTATTGTGGTACACTCAACAATAAACCACCATTAAATGCGTTACTGGCTTACTGTAAATGGATTGGTTTAAGTGAAAATCTACAGGAAACCATAGATTTTCCCTTAAACCAATGGGGCTTTCCTGTAAATTGTCCCTGAAATCAATCCATTGATTACTGTATGTTTTTATGCTGGGGAATGCCGCGCAAAACACCACACAACCTCTGGTAGATAACCGGAGCAGAGAACTCACACATTCGGCAGCAGTTTTTTGGCCAACACCTCCTGGGACCAAATGCCAAGGACATTCATTTCCTCGGCTGGCTATGTCATCAATGGCCATGACTCGGAACCGATTGATTGAATATACCTATTATATATAAGGCCTATATTTCAGGCCTATGTAAGGGAATATCCCCACAAAATATGGCCTTATATGGTACAGTACCTCCATTTTAGGATCCTGGAATTCCCATTGATGTCACACCCCTTCCTTTCCAACTATGAGCTGGTTGGTGGTTGAGCCACCCCTCTGAAAAATATGAGTCAGTTGGGAATATGACATTCCCAATAGATGGAAAAATAAAAAATGTTGCAAACCAACAAACAAATGAGGATATCAAACCATAAACAAATTGAATAAGGGGAGATTAAGCAGGAGATATGAGCAATGATGCTGGGTATAATCTGGCTGTTTTGGGCCACTCCAAACCCCGCTCATCAATTCGGACAAATGTCATTAGTGGGAATCAACAAAAATCGAAACTGAAGTAATCCCGAATCAGTATGAACCAGCAACAAAATATGGCTTACCCAGGCCCCAAAAATCACTTGGGATCCTCAGCCCCTTTCTCCATCGGCTTGAACCAGCGAGGATGGATACCACCAAGCAGATGATAGGTTCACTGACAGCGGAGTAAAACATGGTGGTGATATGTGCCCATTATATTCCCACTATATGTTCATTCATACCATACCCCATTAATACCGATTAAATCATCATGTAATACATATTATATATATATATATGTCTGGGTAAATTATAACCACCGCACTGCGACCTCACTATAATATACTATAATCATACTTAGTAAGGGGAAACATCCCCAGGATAGCCTTGTTTCAGGTTAGTGAATTATTATAATTCACCCAGATACATGGGTATAGGGCGAAATTAGCTACAATGTGAGGCCCACAAGATAGCTAAGTTGGTGCAAATAACTATAATTTCACTAGGGTTTATGGTAGTTATAACTATAGTTAGATAGGATTATAAACCAACTTATAAGTAGGGGGGCCCACATTGTACCCCAATAATTAGATGGTTGATAATTACTAACTAAACATAGACTATAATCATCAAATCTGTGATCCCATAGGGCTTAAATTTTGACCTATCCCCACATGTGTAATGTCAATCATGGATAAATGAACCCTTTTGTATCCTTTTGTGAATTTGGCGGGTACACCCGAAATAGTGATAGTCTGATACTTAAATGGCACCCCCAATTAAACAGCCTGCTGGTTTGTCGTTCCGGGCTTGGCATTACTAAATATACATTTATATTGACTATAGTTATAAAGTTGGATTATATACTGGTTAGTGGTTTCAACCCCTCTGACAAATACTAGTCAAAGGGAAGGATTATCCCATATATTATGGAAAATAAAATTCATGTTTGAAACCACCAACCAGTTTATGTATGAACATTTTTCGGTTGTCCTTTTTTGCATATCTGGGATTATCTGGGGGCATATTTCTGTTTCACTCCGTTCACTCCGTTCGGATCGTGACAACCAATCCGATCCAAGAGTCCCCAACGGCGATGCTGCCGAGACCGCTGAGCGATAGCTTTGTGCCCAAGCATTTCTCGTCACAAGCCACGCCGTGGTACCAGGAGTTCCTTCACGGCTCCCGGCGACTCTGGTGTCATGAAGCTGATGGGAATGATATGTATAATTATATATAATTATATATATATGTATATATATATACATATAAATATATAATTATATATTTGTATATATATTATATATATTATATGGAGGTTTCTTGCAGGTACCCCCAAATCTTCCAAAATTAGACCATTTTGGTATTGAAAGCCATTGGGGATCCCCCATTTCAAGAAACAAATGGTGGTTTCCGGGCTTCAACCCATCCTAACATGTTTTTTTCAACTAGGAATCATCTCCTCGAGGGAAGATCCTTTTATGAAGCCTTTCAATAATGTCCTTTTGGTAAAAATAGAGGGGCCGGGAGCTGGTATACCATCTATCATCAAACAAACCTGTTGTTAAAGGGGTAAACAAACCCATCTATCTGGGTAAATTATAATATGTCACTAACCTAAATTAAGGCCATTTGGGGATGATTTCCCTTACTAACCATGATTTCAGAGAGGGAGAACAGTGAGGTCGTTATAATTTACCCAGATTAATCAACCAACAAATGGGAATTTGGGACATCTATGAAGCCTTTGGTCAAATCCAAGCTGCACATGCTCCTGTAGCCAATCTTCCACCACCACTCGATACCTGTCTCCCGGAATTGGGGCATCGGGGAATGCCCAATGACTATATGTCATGTTAGGGAAACCAATGGAAATCATGAAAGATATGGGAAAATAACCATTATCAATCCCACTTAGTAAGTAGGTTATATCCCTAAACTATGATGAGAATACAAAAAAAAGAAATCAGCCAGAGCCACTAAATTTTATAATCAGTCAAAAAACAATTGACCCATCTACAGTGATCACTAAAAGCAATATAGTGCAAAAAAAGAAATCAACCAATTCCATTTAGAGGAAGGACACTTTAAACATCTGGCGTCTTGACATGTTTTGACCCTTACCTCATATGAATCGTGCCGTATCATTCTGGAGAAACAGCTATTCTTAGAAGTGCAAAATCCCAGTTACATGTCAGAATCACGAAATAGTTTTTTTTGCACGTTTAACACACAGTGTACTTCAGTTTGTGGACACAAAACCGTGACAACTTCAATTTGTGATTACAGAGATTGTACATGTTCATATGTCTCATATTCGCTTATACAGTTGGATGAATGAAAAGTGAACAGCAAAGTGAAATTAACCAACACGTAGTGCAAAAAGTTTGTAAAAAGAGTGTTTAAAAAAAACAGTGCAACAAGAATGCAAAAACTCGCGGTGTGTAGATTGTTTTACATTTTGATACATGTTTATGCATATTTATACATTCGTCATATACGCTTTTCATCTTCAAGTTCTTTTCGCTCTTGTTTTCCACTTTCTTTCCACTTTTGTCACGTTTTCCACATTGTTTTGCATAGTCCATGTTTTTATGTCCCAGCTTCCCCTGATACAGTTCAAAAGTGCTAAAATTTGGTGTAAAAAACTCGAGGAAATTACACCTGTTTTAAGACACTTCGCATGTTCACTTTGTGTTCACTTCAACTTGTTCTTCGCATTTTCTCACTTGCTTTTACAGTCTTTTTACACCTGTTTCCACTTGTTTCCACTTGTTTTGCCGTCTAGATATGTCTAGATGTTTCAACTTATCCTGATACAGTCATCAACTTATCCTGATACAGTCATCCAAACGAAAACTGATATCAAAAATGATGTGTAAAAAACACGTGAAGGCTCGGAGGATTCTAATGTTTTTTTTGCATGTTTCAACTACGTTTTTTGATTTAACTTGTTTTTTAGTTTCTTCCCACTTTCGACACGTTTTCTTTCCCCTGGGTTTTGCATATTACATGTCTAGATGTCTCAAATTCCCCGTATACAGTCATATAAATGAAAACTGAAAAGCAAAGTGAAACACAATTGTACAAAGGTGTAAACACGCGAGACTTTTACGTTGCTTTCACTTTCCATATGAAAGTTGCAAATTATTTGTTCTCACTTGTTTTTTTCTTTTTACACCTCCAAAAGTGCTGCCAGGAAGTGTAAAGAATGTGTAAAGTTCAAGTGTATTAAAATGTATCAAAGATACTAAAATTTCTACAATAAAAGTGTATGCAGAATCAATATAATATAATCCATTTGTTTTCTACCTGATGTACCATGTGGTTATTTAACATAGCGAACTGGAAAATCCCAACCATAAATGGAGGTTTGGAGGTTGATGTCGCTGGGAAAATCATCTGTTTCTATGGGCCATTTTCCATATATCAATGGCCATTCCAGGATCCGATTGATTGGAGGTACCTACCATATATAAGGCCTATATTTCAGGCCTATGTAAGGGAATATCCCCGCAAAATATGCCCTTATATGGTACAGTACCTCCATTTTAGGATCCTGAAATTCCCATTGAGTAATAGTTGTTGCAGTCTTTTTCAGCTATCCAAATCATAGATCGCATACTCAACCCCCGAGGGCAAACCTGCCTCCGCTTGAGGAAACTAAAGAGCTTCAGCCCATCCTCTGTGGTAGGCTCCTGCCACCGAAAAACACCACGGAATGGCTCTAGTCACAACTATATACAGTATATACCCTTCAATGAACTGCAACAACGATGTTCAAATTGAATTTACCATAGCCATGGATAAATTATATGAATCATCAACGAAACCATGTTTTTTTTCATGGCCACAATCTTCTCTTCCCCAACTCCCACAGCATTAGAGGATCATCCGACGAAACGTCACTGGTGAGCTTGACCCGCTTGACCCTAGTTGCAACCCACCTATACCCTCTGGTAATTTAACGCAGCTATTGGAAATGGCCATTGATAGTTGATTTACCTATTATATAAAATAATATTCAAATCGTGATTTTCCATAGCTATCTTAGTTTACCAGAGGGTAACTGGAATAAATCGGGGACTTACGATTAGAAGAATTATTATGGTTCAATAACCACGAAAAGCGTGGGATCCTTCTCCAAGTGTAGTTAGAAGTTGGTTTATTAACCCATCCAACCTATAATCTCAAGTCATAATCATCATAAATTGTACCTAGTTATGAACCAGAGTTATCCATAGATATCAACGCATCCACAGTTCGCCTTCTTGAAAACCATATAGTTTTGTCTGAAAATAAGCACCACTAATCTACTCCTTCAGACCCCTTAAATGATCATATTTCACTAACCTGAATGATATTGCGAAACAACAAAGCGGCCAGAAAAGGGGATGATTTCGCTGCAAAAAAAAAACAATCGATTTACCCTATGATTCCAGCGATAAAACTGGCTTCGGGAGAACAGTGATTTCACCAGGGCCTTGAAGGAAAAGAGCAGCTTTCGCACGTGGTAGCCTGCCATCGCACAGCCATCGGTGATCACATGATAGGCTACTCTCGGTGCAAGCGTTTTTATATAACTTGATATAATTTATCCGGATGAATTGGGATCATCTGAAAATTCAATATAAACTTGAGTATCAAGCTATCACCGGGCTATCACCCCCAAACTAATCATGAAAGTCCCAGTGTGATATGAGAATCATTGAGAATCCCCAATATATAATGATACTCCCATTTCAGACAATTACCTTCAAACTAATCATCAACCAACCTTTGGGTGTCAAACGCAACTGCTCAGCTTCAACTGAACTGACCCACCACGGCCTTTTTGGCCTGTGTGCAGGTCCACATTCATCTTCACGCTGTCAATCTCAGGAAATGGATAGGTCATCAAAAGTCTGGCAACCTGGAAACTCAAAAAAATATGGTTCTTAAAAAGTTTGCTATGGTATAGATATGTATAGATGGCCCATTTAGTTCGATGATTAAAAAAGATGATTTGCCTCTTTCAATGGTGATTTTCCAGGCCCCAAAGGCTTGGCCCGAAATATTTGGGAAGGATTCCTTTCCTGCCATTAACCCTTACTGCCAACAATAATTGCAAATTATTGTTGAATGATGGTTACATGTATACATATGTAATTATATATATATGTATGATAACAATAATTTGCATGAGTAATATCATTATTATTGTTACTATTCTTTTTACAAATAAGTGCTATAGTAAGAACCACCACGTATCACAATGTGTTCATGGTTTCTCCGAGATTCCAAATTGATGAACTGCAAGGGGTCAGTCACAAAACCTGCGGCTTGGCCGTTCGATCTCGGCTGCAAAGATGAAAGATCATGCTAGCAACATGGTGGTTCTTTCACTTCCACCTTGGTTCCAACATGTATAATGTGGATATATATATAAACTTACCTATGTATAGATATGTATGTATGTATATATACTGTATACATACATACATACATTTAATAAATAAATAAACAAACAAGTAAATAAATGTATATGTATGTATATATTATATATATATTGATATTTATACAATGTCTCTGTGTAGTAGACATATGTTACATTCATGTTTTCATCTACACAAGATCAACATCAACATCTGGACAGGTTGGGTTGGACACCTCAAGTTCGGACAAAGTGTCCAAAAGTCGAGCCTGCCATCAGTCATGGGTCGAAATACTACTTTCCACTAAAAACATTTTATAAAACAAACATAGCGATGTTCAGGGTCAAACTGTTACCCTCTGGTAAACATTTACATAAGTATGGAAAATCACCATGCTATTAATGGGGAAACTCACTATTTCGACTGGGCAATTTTCAAGTTCGCAAACTGTAAACGTTTACCAGAGGGTAATTTGGAGGCTGAACATTATATCCAGAGGGTATATCCCCTATAAATCCCTATAAATCCCCATTATATCCCCTATAAATCCCTAGAAATCCCTATTATATCCCCTATAAATCCCTATAAATCCCCATTATATCCCCTATAAATCCCCATTATTAGGAGGGTAATCCCCCATGCTTCTGCATTGCTCCTCCCGCCACGCGCAACGCCGCAACGCTTGCGACGCGACGATCCGCCTGGGGATGATCTTTGATCCTCCAAATTGCTCAGCCTCGAGCTCACGAGCGGTCGATTTGATGTGTGAGCAACTGATCCAGATGCTCCATGTATAGCATATTTACCTACATTTGGGCCATTTGTTGGATAAATGTAGGTAAATATTCCATACATTGAGCATATGGGTGAGGCAACTGGCCCAGAAAAGGATGATTTCTGGTGCAAATAACTTCAATAACTATGGTTTATGGTAGATATATCTATAGTTAATGGGGTTTATAAACATCATAAAATATGTTGCTTGGTGGCGAACTACCCACGAATCGTTTTTGTGGGTTATAAGCCCAGTTATTTCAGTGGATTAACCCTACTTATCCCATGTAAATCACTGGGGTTTTACCCACTTACTAAGTGGGATGAGCCACCAAGTGATAATGGTTGACAATGGTTGATAATAGTTAATATGTGGTTAATATGTGGTTAATATGTGGTTAATATGTGGTTAATATGTGGTTAATATGTGGTTAATATGTGGTTAATATGGGTAATATGGTTGATATATTATAATATCATATAATATATGGTTAATGATGGTTGATAATGGTTGACAATGGTTGATAATGGTTGATAATGGTTGATAATATCTAAGTACCATGGAGACATCCATCTCAATGATTCAAGTATACTTGAATTCCGTTTTGTTTTGCTGGTGAACATCAACATCTTCGGCAAAAAAAACGATCACTGGCAGCAATCCCAATTCTTGCTCAGAAAACTCCATGATCTTAGTACCCTCTGGTAATTTAACATAGCTATAGAAAATCACCATTTTTAATGGGAAAACTCACTATAAATGGGCCATTTTCAATAGCTTTTTGTATGTTTACCAGGGAGGGTAACAGCTTTAATCCAACCCCAGTTCCCTTGGATTGCTATGGATTTCTACAGATTCGGGGGTCCCAAAAACAAGAAACACATATTCCCTAGAGATTCCCTACAGTGGTCGATGTTCCATTGGGAAATTTAAAGAATCCAATTGGTTTTATATATACGTATATATATATATGGGATTATTTTCCCAGACAATCCATATTTTCCCATATATATATATATACACATATAGGAATAATTGGGAACAATCACCTTAACCAAACCCAAGGAACAATTGTTTAAATTGTATAATTAACCATATTCCTTACAGATTTCCCAAATGCTTAATGTTCCAAATGGCCAATGGATTTTTTTCAAGAATCACCTGAAATAAACCCAAAAAGGTCAATGTCCCTTAATCGATTTCCCATTGGGTTGTACATCCCAGCGCCGCTTTTGGTTGTTAGCGGCCTCTGACTCCCCTTGCTTTTGATGCTCACGTCATCGCTGGACGATGAGGTCCCTGCGACCTCATCGTCCAAAATGGCACCTGCCAAAGAAACGCCCAAATCGGAGGGAAAGTGTGGGATTTTTGTTGGGAATTCATGGGACTTACGTGGACATTTCTTGGGATTTACCGTGGGATTTAGACATAAATAAGTTGGGATTTCATAGGCTTTCATATGGGATTGATTGGGATTCGTTAGGAATTTTCATGGGGAAACTTATGGGATTGATTGGGATCTTTTTCGCGATTTGGGATTTCATGGGAAAGGGAATGACCTGGAATTATCCATTAGCCTCTGGTAATCAAACATGGCTTGCGGGAAAATCTTCCATTGATTCAATGGTTTCTAGGATGGTACTGTAGAGATATGAAATTGACCTCATATTTCCAGGTGTCTGACTTTTCGATCTATTTTGGGGATGCTATCATATAATGGAATGTAACTAAGTTGGGAAAATAGATGGGGATATGGATGTGGATGTAGATGGGGATGTAGATGGGATATGCTTAAATGGATTCACTTAAGAGAGAATTGGCTCAAATGTAAAGGGGTTTTCTGCAAAGTTTCCCTTCAATTCTATGAATGATCCCACTTCGCAACTGGTTAGAAAGCCTGTTGATCGTAAGTCCACTAACTAGGTTTATTCCATTTACCCTCTGGTAAACTAACATAACTATGGAAAATCACAATTTTTCATGGGTAAATGCACTATAAATGACCATTTTCCATGGCTTTTTGTATGTTTACCAGGCCGGTTTTTTTGGGGTCCCAAGTTTACCACGTTTTTGTCGCTCGCCGGGAAGTGGGTGGGTTTCATCCAAATCATCCAAGTCTGGACGTTGATGCTTGGTGGCGAACTACCCACGAATCGTTTTTGTGGGTTATAACCCCAGATATTTCAGTGGATTAACCCTACTTATTCCATGTAAATCACTGGGATTATAACCCACTTACGATTCGTGGGATGAGCCACCAAGTGCACAGCTTCGTCCCAGCTTCGTCCCAGCGCTTCTTCAGTCTAGATATCAAGAAACACCCTCAGAACACAAGTCGAACACGCATAACTAACGCTTCCCTGCCAAACACAATACAAACACATAACTAATCATAACTATCCATGGGCCATATATGAGGAATTGTCAAAACCTACTATTACCATATGACTGGGGGGTTAACCATCCATTAAACATCCATTAAACATCCACTAACCAGCCATATCATTCCCCTAATAATGGGGTACCATTTGACTGGGGAATAACCATCCATTAAACATCCATTAAACACCCACTAACCAGCCATATCATTCCCCTAATAATGGGGTACCATATGACTGGGAGAAAAACTCTCCATTAACCATCCATTAAACATCAATTAAACATCCACGGACCAGCCATATCGTTCCCCTATAATGGGGTACCATATGACTGGGAGAAAAACTCTCCATTAACCATCCATTAACCAGCAATGACCAGCAAGGAATAACTGTCGTCCTTCCCCCGAACGATAGCTAAGTTGGTGCAAATAACTTCAATAACTAGGGTTTATGATACTTATAAGTATACGGGATGGAGCCCCCAAGATAGCTAAGTTGCTTTATAAGTGGCTTAACTATGGTTTATGTTACTGTAGATTCGTTAGATATAACTACGTATAGTATGAGGCTTATAATTGTTTATAAACCAACATTCACATAACGGGGGGGGCCCACGGCCAGGTCCGTCCCCAGTGCCGCCGTTTCCACGCCTTCCGGGATGCTGGCAATGCTGGCAATGACATCCCGATGTTTCCGCGCCCGAGGCAGTTCCCGATGTTCGCGGTTGTCCTTGGTGATGATTCCAACCTCGGTGTCACGTTCATGGGAAAACTGGGAACAGAAATTTCATGATCTTACGATGTGCAAACCACTGAGTGTAGGCGGTTTGTAAGCCATATATCACCCATATAATCCACATATAAGTGATGATAATCCATATTTTTCTATTGAGTGTAGAAGCCATTTCAAAGAGGGATGCACCTCCAAGATACATTTAAAGGTGGTTTCTGTTTCGCGATTTTATTCCACTTGAAGGGACTTGGGGGTCCAGTATGTTCAAATCATCTTAGAACCCTGCATTTTGTTTTAGCTGGTTCGTGTATATATATATATTTGTATATATATATATATAATTGTATATATATACATACTTATTACTATTACTATTATTATTATAGTTGTATTACTATACACTATTATTGTATTATATATATATATCATGATTGATATAATATTACATTCTGCATATAATTATATACCCGGACGCGAAATCTGCGGGCCCTTGCAGCCATTTTTTTGACAATCATGTTTTTCCCTGCGAGGAGGTCCTCGCAAATTTCATCAAGGCTCATGTTGGAATAGCTGAAATGAATCCCCTGTAATTACAACCAACAAAAATAGTTACCCTCTGGTAAACTAACATAACTATGGAAAATCACCATTTTTCATGGGAAAATCCACTATAAATGGCAATTTTCAATAGCTATGTTAGTTTACCAGAGGGTAATTGGCATATTTGAATCTAGATGATTTAAACGGATCTCTTCGAATTATCATGGAATCTCATGGAACCAATTAGCCTCTGGTAATTCAACAGTGCCATTGGTACAAACTATCCATTGGATCCCATTTTTTTCGCGGCATTTTCCGTGGCGAACTATTAGATTACAACCAATTACCCGGTAAACTAACAGTTTGCTATTGAAAATGGCCAAATATAGCTGATTTACCCATTTTCATCCATTTTCTAATGGTGGTATTCCATCGTTTTTGTTGTACGTCGCCCTCCACATACCAGGAGGTTTGACCTTCACATCGAGGTGCCAAGTGTTGAGGGTCCTCCGTCAACAAGCTTGGGACCGGCATGTGAAAGAGCTGCACATCGAACAAACGTCCGTGGAAGTCCTGGTCCGACCGAGACACAAAATGGCTATGGATCAATACCTATACATACCATTTTTAGTGGGATGAACATCCATTTACCAGCTATTTTGATGTTCACTAGGTACCAGGGTTTTGACCCATCCCCAAATCGACCATGTTGAATGACCACGGAAGAGTTGTGGCGCTGCAAATTTTGACGATGAAAATGAGGCATTGGAAACAAAGGCAGCACAGAATGGAGGAGTGCAAACTGACAAGTCATTGGACTTGGTGGATTTGAAGATGCCAAACATGTTCTTCAACAAGATGCCTGGTTGGTGGTTTCAACCCCTCTGAAAAATATTAGTCAATGGGAAGGATTATCTCATATATTATGGAAAATAAACAAATGTTCCAAACCACCAACAAGATGCAGATTTGACCAACAAGAATCGAATTTTTTTCAATAAATCATGGGCTATCTATGACGATGGCAGGTGAAATTTCGCAAAAGCTGGGATTTGTTCTGCACAGAAACATTCATGAAATTAATGCACGTGCGTGTCATCTGTTAAAAAAAAACAGCCGAAAGAATCGGGAGATTCACCCAGCCCACACGCCACATGGGCCACAAAAATCACAACCAAAGATGGTGCTGTTTTTGCTGAGTCGGGGAAACTCAGATCGATTCGTTCCCTGGATGTCTGACAGCTGCTCCGTTGTTTAGGCCATCGAATCACACTTGCTAATGTTGCTGGAAAAATTCTGAACTTTCAAATCCAAGAATCCAATGACCTAAAAAAGAAATATTTTACATCCTATTTTGATGTTTCTGGATCCATACTTCATTTTTTTTGGGGTCTCTCAAAAATGATGGGTATACCCCAATTTATGGCGATGTTGATACATTCTACCCTCTGGTAAACTAACATAGCTTGAGGTCTGCCCCCGCCACCTAACAGTTCAAAACTGCCCCCCCTTCATAAACCACATACCAAAAAAACACAATCATATTGGTGGTAACTCAGGCCATTTTAGGGGATCATTAGGGTCTGCTTAGGAGAAGATGTGATCTAGGTGGGCCGTACAATTAACAAAGGGTGGAGTAGTGAATGCAACAACATCATTACCTTTGAGGTGGCATTGTTTGTGGTTAAACCATTTAAATCATTTTAACGAACATCCTTTTGTATTGCGCCATATTGTTGGAGCCATCAGGACATGTTTGCTGAACTTGTCATCAACTAGCCAAAAAATCAAAGTATCGATGTTGCTGTTGATATCCTTTGATGGTTGGAACGTTGGAATGGTTCTGGGAAGTCTGACAGCTGACATCATTTTGTTTATCTGAATATTTGTGTGTCAAATAGCAATGGCAATGATTTGGTATGATGATGCAAGGTGTTGCATCGATATGATGATACGATATTATGACTCATGACATTCTTTACAATATTGAATGCAGCATACCTGAGATACCGAGATACTGCAATCAAACGGTCCAACCATTGTAAGTTATAAGTGAAAAGCGTTACAAAGGCGTGCCTCCAACAATAGTTGTTGAGGTTCTTAATAAACATCATATGATAATTACATTTTTTTCACATTCCCGCTCCTGGCATGGGCTCACTCTTGAGAGTTTTTTTTGGAAAGGAGGTTGGAAAAAAGGAAATGGTGTGAGACATTTGCTGGGCCGCTGGTCCGAAGGCTGTCGAGGCCAGGTGGCCTGAGATTCATTTTTTCCAAAGAAATTGTGCTTTTTTCGTGCTTTTTTGTGCTTTTTTTGTGCTTTTCCGGCGCTCCCGAGCACAAAAAAAAGCACAAAAAAAAACACAATTCATAGCACAAAAAAAAGCACAAAAAAAACCACAATTCATACCACAAAAAAAAGCACAAAAAAAAACACAATTCATACCACAAAAAAAAGCACAAAAAAAAACACAATTCACACCACAAAAAAAAGCACAAACAAAAACACAATTCATACCACAAAAAAAGCACAAAAAAAAACACAATTCATACCACAAAAAAAAGCACAAAAAAAACCACAAATTTTAAACAAAAAAAGCACAAAAAAAAGCACAAAAAAAAGCACAATTCATACCACAAAAAAAAGCACAAAAAAAACCACAATTCATACCACAAAAAAAAGCACAAAAAAAACCACAATTCATACCACAAAAAAAAGCACAAAAAAACCACAATTCATACCACAAAAAAAAGCACAAAAAAAACACAATTCATACCACAAAAAAAAGCACAAAAAAAATCACAAATCATGCGCGTTTCCAGCCCGTTCGTCCTTGAAATTGCGAAGGGAAACTATTATCTAATTTGTTTTCAATTGCCAGAAAGCACAAAAAAAGCACAAAAAAAAGCACAAAAAAAACCACAATTCATACCACAAAAAAAAGCACAAAAAAAACCACAATTCATACCACAAAAAAAAGCACAAAAAAAAGCACAATTCATACCACAAAAAAAAGCACAAAAAAAAGCACAATTCATACCACAAAAAAAAGCACAAAAAAAAGCACAATTCATACCACAAAAAAAAGCACAAAAAAAAGCACAATTCATACCACAAAAAAAGCACAAAAAAAACACAATTCATACCACAAAAAAAAGCACAAAAAAAACACAATTCATACCACAAAAAAAAGCACAAAAAAAACACAATTCATACCACAAAAAAAAGCACAAAAAAAAGCACAATTCATACCACAAAAAAAAGCACAAAAAAAAGCACAATTCATACCACAAAAAAAAGCACAAAAAAAAGCACAATTCATACCACAAAAAAAAGCACAAAAAAAACAAAGTCATTTTCCTTTTTTTTCCTGCGCCAGTTTCTGCTTTTTTTTGTGCTTGTTTTGTGCTTTTTTTCTGCTTTTTTCTGCTTTTGGAAAGTCGCTGCTTTTAAAGCATTTTCAATTGGCCAGCCCGGCCCAGCTCCAGCCCCCACCTCAGCCAGCCAGCCCGCCAGGCCTCTAGTCCCCCAGCATTCCCCAGCTCCCAGGCTCCAGCCCCCAGGCTCAGCCCCCAACCCTTGCCCAGGGTCAGTCCAGCAGCCCCGGCCTTTATATGTATTGTACACACACATTCTATTGTTTTGCTATCGGCGCTGCGATGGGCAACATTCTAAACCCTAACAGAATTACTTTTCCATCGGCATTGTGGTGGGCAGCATCCTAAACCCTAACCAGTGTTGCTGTGCCATCAGCGCTGCAATGGGCAGCATCCGAAACCCTAAACAGTATTGCTTTGCCATCATCGCTGCAATGGGCAGCATCCAAAACCCTAAACAATATTGCTTTGCAATCAGCAGCATCACTACCCACAAGGTGCTGACAAGCTGGATGCATGAGGCATCCCATTGGAAATGCCAATGTCGAATTTTGACAGCAAGGACTTCTGGGCATGGCAAGAAAATGTGCGGACCGTGGAGCCAACTTGCAGGGAATATGCCTGGTCATCTAGCCTTAATAAGGGGAAATGAAAGTCATATTGGGGACTACAACCTGATTGTTTTTGTGCTTTTTTTTTGTGGTATGAATTGTGGTCACTGTTAGTGTCACGAGGCAGAGCCCAAAACATAGCTATTAAAAATGGCCATTGAAATCGTGAGTTTTCCCATTAGAAATGGTGGATCTTTCCATAGTTTTTTGTTAACGTTTACCAGGCCGGGTAACAAGGATAAACCGCGGCTCAGCTCCTTCATCTGCAAGTGTAGGGCGCTGGGAGCATTCAGCGATGTGGCAATAAAATTGGTAAAGCGATCTTGATCCTGCAGCAGTTGATGTGGTAGACATCCATGACGTCTCCCATATTATTTAGGATATTTTATGACTTGGTGGCTCATCCCACGAATCGTAAGTGGGTTATAATCCCAGTTATAAATGGGACAAGTAGGGTTAATCCACTGAAATATCTGGGGTTATAACCCACTTACGATTCGTGGGATGAGCCACCAAGTAGGATATTTTATGATGACTTTCAACCATCCCTTAAATTGGTGAACCATCCGCAGTTTGGCCAAAAAAACACGAGTTTTTGTCCCATCCAATAGACTCGGGACCCGCAAAGTTCGACAGTTGTGGATGACACCCAGAAGTTCCAAGGGAAGAAGTACAATAAACATTCCGAGCAATTTTGGGTTACCCGGCCTGGTAAACGTTTACACTTTGCTATTAGAAAAGCGTCATTGAGTTCGTTGATTTACCCAGCTAAACCATGGTGATTTTCCACCGTTTTTGGTATGTTTACCGGAGGCATTTTCCGGTAAATTCCACCTTCTCAAGGGGTGGCTTTGCAGCACACGATCAATTATTGAGGGATGGGCCAGTGAAATCCTAAAAACCACCAATTTGGGATTGTTGAAAGTCATCATAAAATATCCTACTACTACCCACAAATCGTTTTTGTGGGTTATAACACCAGTGATTTACATGGGATAAGTAGGGTTAATCCACTGAAATAACTGGGGATGTTTCAACCACCGTTTGAACCAACTGGTGATTCATATTTCGCTGGCTCCACCGTATGGTGGGTGAAGAAAATGAAGACATTGTATAACGGTTAGATCATGTTAGATATCCCTGTGTTGGATGGTTGAACCATAGATTTTTTGATGCTGACCCCATGAGGCTCCGATCTTCGTCCTCGCTTTCACATCGCTGAAAATATCTGGTTGGTTTCAACCTACCCCTCTGAAAAATGATGGAGTTCGTCAATGGGAAGGATGACATCCCATATATGAAATGGAAAATAATCCAGTCATGAAACCACCAATCAGTATATACAGTATATATATATATCATATATCCCATCAGTTACTTGTTGGTGGTATACCTACCTACCCCTCTGAAAAATGATGGAGTGAAAGTCAGTTGGGATGATGACATTCCCAACTGAATGGAAAATTATAAAATTCCATGGTTCCAGTCACCACCAACCAGTTTAATTACCATTATAATCACTATATATACATCTAAATCATTCTAAATAAAAACGAACTGCTACTGAAGAGACCACTACACATCAAAAAATGTCGAAAACCGATGAACAGCGTAGAATTACCATCTGGCTATGACTAACATAGCCACGGAACATCCACCATTTTTAAGTTCGGTCAACCATCTATTTCGATTAGGGCCATCTATACCATGGCTATGTTAGTCATAACCAGAGGGTATATTCCCTATAAATCCCTATAAATGCCTGGTAAATCCCCATTGTATCCCCTATAAATCCCAATAAATCCCCATGATAGAGGGGACATCCCCATGAATCCCCTCACTGCCTCAACGGCAATGCATTGCACCAGGTCGAAATTCTTGGGACGCTCCTGAGCGGCTTCTGCCGCTGCTTCGCTGCCGCGTCCAAAGACGATGCTTGCAGGGAGAACCCACTTAGAACTAGATGTTGGGAGTTGGGAGATTAAAAATTCATCACTTTATGGGAAAACCCATGGAAAACCCATGTTTTTCCCTATAAACATTGGGGATCTAACCAGTTTCTGGGCATATTTTAAGGGATATTTAACCATCAAATTAGGGGTTTGAACCATATGGATAATGGAAAATCATGGATTTGGGTGTGCCTGAAAATGATGAATTTAGCCCCAAGTTATGGCAAAGAGGGAAAATTATGATCGGGCAGCCCAGCCATTGGGGGTACGCTATTTTCATCTATTTTCAGACACCCCCCGCCATGTCAAACCTGGGAGATGGATCTTGAGTCAAACTTCATATGGTATGAATGTCTAGACCTACCAAATAAGCCTTGAGGTTGGATAGCCAACAATGAGCTGAATGGCCAGCCTATCCAACTGGGAATCATCATTATTCCAGGTTGGGATTCCTGGAAAACATGTAGAAACAGGCCAGGCTTTGTCTGAAAATGAGCGAATTATCCCATAAATCCATTGATATTCCATTGACTAACCATCATGTCCCATTCAATGGCTATCTTTTTTCTGGGTAAATCCCATTTTCATCTAGACCCATCTTGAAACATCTCTTGAAACCCCCACCTTGCGCAGGTTTGGGAAGCGAAACATCTCCAGCACTTTGTCGGAAGGTTGCCTCGAGGGCTGAGGGCTCCACTCGCAACTGTCGGAGCAAACATGGCATGGGTGGCTAGATTTTGTGTCGGAGAGAAGGATGCCACGGAAGCCGGTTCACTTGGTGTGTTTTTATGGGAAAATGAATGGAACTACAGAACTAGCTGTGTTTTTTATGGGAAAATCGATTTGGAACTAGAAAAATCAGCCATGTTTGGAAATGCTTCTGGGGTAGTTGTCAAGCTGAAAACCAGGACCTCGTTCATGACTCGCTGGGGACTGGGAACCTCAAATAGTAACAACCAATGACCAACAGTGACAATCAATGACTTCAAGTCACAATCAAACAAAGAGATTTGTAATGTAGTAGTATTCAATGACTCTAAACAAAGGAAGGTATGTGGAGCTATTGATTGTGACACCTGGCAATCTGCGCCCTCAGTTCAAACCTTTCATGATTCTGTCAACAGCCAAGTTAAATCCAACCTCAACAGGCCAGATTTTAGAGGCCGGGTCGGCGATTCAACATTATGATTTCTACTGTATGTTGTCTTACCCTCTGGGAATTGAACACAGCTATGGAAAATCACCATTTTTGGTAGGTCAACCACCTTTTTTCACAGACCATTTTCCATACATAGCTATATCTAATACCCTCTGGTAAATTAATATAGCTATGGAAAATCACCATGGGTAAATCCACTGTAAATGGCAATTTTCCATAGTTATGTTACTTTACCAGAGGGTATTTCATTTGACTCTGGATCCCTTTGGCAATTTGGCCATGGCCCGGATCGTCAACAACATATCCAAATATAAAATATCTAACACATTTGTGTGGCTCTGAAGATGTGAAGACACACATTGTGAGCACAACATGTCCATTATTTGTTTAACACAATACCATCGATCATCACTGCAAAGAAGGGAACACAACGACTCGGCTCCTTTAAAAAAAAAACGAAAATTGGATTCATGGTCATTCAAGGCGACTATTTCAATCGTAGCCATGGGCCAATGACTCACCAGCTGCACCAGGGAACAGAATCTTCCAATCGTGCGAGAGTTGTTCGCAGCAATCACACATCACTGCCTCACTGCGCAGAGGAAACAGGGCCAGGGTTTCACTGTCCCTTTCGGAGGAATTGATATGTGTTAACCTTGTTTTTTGTTGGGAAGATTGAATGAAGCAATCGTCCAACATATGTCACGATTCCAATTCCTGTTTCTTTTTTTCTGATGCAATTTAAAAATTGTTTGAAAGATGAAGACTGACAATGATGCAGAAACAGCTGCACCGGAGATGAAAGAACACAGGTGTCAGCATACCGCTTGCACTGCACATCACAAGTAACTCATTGTTGTATAGTACGTTTATTGTGCAATATTTCCTTTGATTGGAATATATAGCCGTCTATATACCATAGTATATATATATATGATTATATTAAATTATATTATACTATATATTTATATCTATATGTGTTTAGAAGGAAACTCAGTAATGTCAACTCTCAGCTTTTCCAAGGTGCCAAGAGTGACTTGGCAGCGTTTAAGAGCGCTTCTCTCTCCTTGATATGGAGGTCCTGAGGGTTTGCACAGTCGCAGCCATGGTGTGTGTCTACTCTCTGGTAATTTCGGGATTGATAACCATGTTATTTAACCATGGTGAACCATGGAAAATTATGATGCAATGGAATTTAGTGGGATTTGATGGAGATACCCCCTAGTGATTTGTTACAGTTTGCTATTGAACATGGCCCATGAAAAGTTCGTTGATCTACCTATCAAAGATGGTGATTTTCCGTCGTTTTTTGTATGTTTACCAGAGGGTAGGCACCATTCATGACATGAACCCAACGATGAAAAATAGGATTTTATCTTAGCCTCAACATACAAAAAGCGATTTTGTACATCACCATTTATAATAGGTAATTAAATATGGAACATCACCATTTATAATAGGTAAATATCACCATTTACGATGGCGATTGACTCATTAACTCATTACCCGGCCTGGTAAACGACACCATCACTACGGAAAATCCACCTATTTTATAGCTAGGTAAATCAAGGAACTAACTCGACTGGGCCATGGCTTCAATAGCAAACTGTTGGTCATTACCAGAGTGTAGCCAAAATGTTGGTCATACTACGACTATAATTCGACTAATAGCCAGCTCAAGCCAGCTGTGCCAACAGTGTGAAAATGGTTTCATGATGTTTCATGTGGAGGTGTCCATTTCAAAGCGTCCCTTTCAATAGGATTTGAAACGTGATTTTCCAACCAAGCCCCATGTCATTTTTCGCTATTTTTCGCTTTTTCCCGGCCAAAGAGAGCAGCAAAGCGCCGCCTGCTTTTTCACATTCTCTTCCAGTTCCATGTTGGCTTTCTCCTGGCTATCCCAGCGGTGGATGAGTCCATCAAATACCACGTAGAGACTTAGCCAAAAAACCATTACTGGTTGGTGGTTTTATCCATATTGAAAAATATGAAAGTCAATGGGAAGGATGACATCCCATATATGAAATGGAAAATATAAAATGTTTGAAACCACCAACCAGATTAAATACCACCAACCATTAACTATAAACCACTACTCCATGAAATATAACTTATAACCATGAATTACCACGGGAAAGCCAACCGCCACATGGCCCAAGATTCATTTTTTTTACGATCCATCTCCCCGGTCACATGACTCCGTCCCGACAAAAATTGGGTGTCTGCAGCAATGTCTTGTTGATGATATGATGATATGTCTGGTAAACATACAAAAAGCTATTGAAAATGGCCATTTATAGTGGATTTTCCCATGAAAAATGGTGGTTTTCCATAGTTATGTGAACGTTTACCAGAGGGTAGATATCTTATCACTGGCCATTGGCCATGCAACAGGAACCGAGAACGATTGGAGGTACCGATTCCATATATGTTTGGCCTATTTTTGCAGGCCTATGTAAGGGAGTATCCCAGCAAAATATTGCCAAAAATATGGTACAGTACCTCCATTTTAGGATCCTGAAATTCCCATTGATAATGTCATTGTGCATGTATTTAAGTATATCTAAACAGCTGGATTTTCTTATTCCAACCCCAAAAAAAATCAAAGCAAACAATGAAGAGCATGTTTCAGCTATCTGTTGTGGAAAAGCACCAAACAGGGAAGGAAAAACAGCATGCCCATCTGCTGTTGTGGGCTACTCAACGTGGGTTTCAGGAGAAAACCATCCAATCTCTCCACGGCTCTGTCTCAGACTTTGTCGTCATTGTCTTATTAAAACTGCATGTTTGATCTTGTATTTTATTACATTATATCATATTATATCATATTATATCATATTATATCATATTATATCATATTATATCATATTATATCATATTATATCATATTGTATCATATTATATCATATTATATCATATTATATCATATTATATCATATTATATTATATATAATATATATATATGGCTGCGAGTCAAATCTTGAGGCACAAAGGACCACCGATTTTGACTATTTTCAGTATCAGTTCTCACTGATTAACAATCAATTTTGAATTACATATTTTTGACCCATACTCATATTTACCTATATACCAATATAGCTGAACATGTATATATATATATATATGGCTATTCCACATCTACGTATGGAAAAAACAATAACAACAAAACAAAACATTTGGGCATGGTCCAAAACTCTTGACCAAAAAAAACTCAAAAAAATCATCCGGCCCGGGGCTCCATGTCCCAGCGGCGCTCATGTCGTGTCCAAATCTCTCCCCGTGTTGAGCCTGTTTGATGTTCAAGTAATTCAACTGCCCAAGCACCACAGACATAAAGGTCACCGAGACCACCTTTGCAGGATTTTCGGCAGCAGCTGGGAGGTCCACGGCCCACTTTTTTTGAATTCACGTTTCGGATTTGCGTACGTGGAAAATGATCAAAATATCCGAAGCATCCGACCTCCGGGCCGCTTGGGGAGTCAGAACCCAACTATATTTCATCCAAAATCCTATGGTTTTCACGTGGTTTTCGCATGGTTGTCGATCATTTTCCTCATGAAAATGACAAAAAAAGGGGAAACATTTCTGGCCCCAAAAAAGCAATCCTGGACTCAAAAAAAACCAGCTCTTGTGCGTCCCACTGGTTTGTTGGGTCTTATTGGACAATAAACCACACAACGGGAAGAACCCGGCGGAACATTCCCACTTGGAATATATACGTCTACATATATATATATATATACATATTACATATATATATATGTATACATATTATATATATATTATGTGATTTTCCCACTATACAATCCCTCAATTTACAGGGAATTACGATGTCATTGACCAATTATATGCGATATGGAATAGCCACCTTTTTTGCCGGGGAAAACGTTCCCTTCCCCACCTCGTTGACGATGAGTTCCGACAACACTGTGAAGTCGCAGCCGGGCCCTTGACGATAGTAGCCGCAGGCGATGGCGAAGGGAATCATGTAGACGTTCAGCTGGACCTGGTGGCGAATCAACAAAAAGCACAAAAAGTCATGGCTGAAGAATATAATATCTGCTTGGTCTTGGTGTTTTCAACCCCTATTAACCAGAATTATGAACCATCAACTAACTAAGCATTACTATCATCATAGTAATAATGGGTATTAACCAGAATTATGAACCATCAATTATTATATTATGATATATAATATGGTGACTTCTCATATTCAACCACTGGCGAATAAGAATATTACTATAAGAATATATGATAATGGTGAATCCTTGTGAAAATAGCCAGGGTGGTTAATTTTACTGGCGAATAATGGTGATTTTTTGGTTTTCAATAATTTAATAATGGTGAATAGTGGTTAAGACTTAATTTTACTTTATGGTGAATAATGGTGAATAATATTTTCTTGTGGTTTCTGATGGTGAATACTGATGGTTAACCATGTTGTATATAACGGATAATAATGCTAAATAATGGTTAATTATTGTTAATAATGTTTAACGATGTAACTAAGCCTTTCTATAAAAACAATAGTGCTTAATAGTGGTGAATACTGATGATTAATAGTAATCGATAGCCACTAATAATGAATGGCTAGTGAAGAATGGTTCCATACTTACGATTAATAATAATGGATAGTACTCATCAATCGTCATAATCAGTTAGGCATTACTATGAACCAGTATGATGAACCATTAACTAGTTAAGCATTCCTATTAACCACAATTACGAACCATTGACTAACCAAGCATTCCTATTAACCAGAATTATGAACCATCAACTAACTAAGCATTACCATCATCATAGTAATAGTGGGTATTAAATGTATTAGCTAGTATTAGCTAATTTGCAATGGTTCATAATGATGGTTCATAATGATGGTCAATAATAATGATTGCTAATGATGGTCAATAGATGTCAACTGAATATGTGGTTGGTGGTATACCTACCCCTCTGAAAAATATGAAAGTCAAATGGGATTATTGTTCCCAATATATGGAAAAATATATAAAATGTTCCAAACCACCAATCAGATATGACATTTTTACAATAGGGTAAACATAAAAACAATTTTGTGGGTTGGAACCATCGGGAAAGCCCCAGAAAATGATCATGGTGGCTTGGACCTCTTCATAGGTATGTTTAAGGGGGAAAGCATTAGCTGTACTATCAACAATCATGGCAATCATTCCCCAATAAATAATGAATCATATCCAGAAATGTTTTGTAGTACTACCCTCTGGTTATTTAATATATGGAAAATGGCCCAGTTACAGATGATTTTCCCATTAAACAATAAACCTCCATTTGTAAGGGATTTTCCATGGCTACGTTCAATAACTATCTAGAGGGTAATAATTATGATTAATGGGTGTACTCAATGTTGATTGATCCTCACTTTTCTTATTATCCTTGTGATACATACTTCTTAATTTAAGAATTCATACTATTTCACCATTATCGCCATTATCAACCCTCTGCTCTTTTCTACCAACCCCGTAATATCATTGACATGTAAAGTGGGCCCATGATTGATAAAACGAATAACGGCTTATAGTGATAGTAATTGTTTCGAATAATAAAATCTTACGGCCAGCACTTGGGCTATGTGGCTATGCCGGCCCCCAACATCGAAATCGGGATGATTGAGGGAAGCTGAACGTTGGTCCATTGGTCGCTGCAGTCAAGAAACCGTGAAGCCAATGTCTGGAGAAAAACTAGCAACAAACCTCATGCGAAGCGCTACTTGTCAGCCTTAATCCTGTGGCTCATTGAATCTTTCTACACAAAAGAAAAAATTGACATGCTATACCGGTACTTCAGCAAATGTATGTATATTATATAACGCATATATCAGCTACATCTTATTAAAAATGCAACCCAAAGTCAACATTACGATTGATTGGTCATTCAGTGAACGATGTCACCGTTCTGTGTTGTGCCGCCAGAACACATGCGACCCAAATAGTTGGCACACACCAAATGGTTCGATAAATCAATGCCTCAGGCGGATCACGCGAGTCCAGGAGGAAAGTCTCGGCCGAACATTCGTGAAGTCATCTGGTTGGTGGTTGACCTACCCCTCTGAAAAATCTGACGAATCGTCAGTTGGGATGATTCCATTCCCAACTGAATAGAAACTCATAAAATTCCATGGTTCCAAACTACCAACCAGTCTCTATATGTAATATATATATATAAAATATATCCCATCAAATATCCCTACTATGGTTGGCTATAAATCCCATATATTATGGAAACATCAAAGTCATGTTTTCATTCGGCCAATGTTTTAATCCAGGTCACCAGGTGGAGGATCTCAGCAGCAGATTACTCAGATTACCCCTAAAAAAGGAAAGTTGTATGTTAAAAATTCACCTTGACCAAACATGGCCAAGCAAACAGATATCCTGCAAAAAAAAAGCGCAGAATTCTTATGAATTCTTGGCTGGTTAGGTTGATATGTCCTCAATTATCCTGCCAAGAAATAGTTAGTCAGGATGCAGTACTAAACTGCCAGTTCGTTGCCCCAGTACTTCCTAACCTCCAACAGTTCGTAAAATCTTGGATTCCCACAGCTAGCATAGCTGGCATAGCTTGCTTCGCCGTTCAACTTTTCAAGGTGCTATTGACCAATCCAAAGAAGTTGATCAGCGTTGTCAGGATTAGAATTTGTCGGCTTGACATCTCTTGACCTGCCCAGCTGAATGTGAAATACCTACGAAATAGAGGTGAAGTAAGCAAAGATGTGTGTTTTTTAAACATATATATGGGTTTGTCTGAAAATAGGGTATATTCCCAATCATAGCCATTTAATAGGGATAATGATCATTAACCATTGGGTTTAGGGGTACACTATTTTCAGACACACCTATATATATATACGTATGGGGGGTTCTTAAAATGCGGGCTCCGCAAGTCAGCATAGGTTTCAATACTAAAATGGTCGAATGTCTTGGATGATTTGGTACCTGCATTCTAGGACCCCCCAAAAAAATATACATTGTGTCAAATATATACAAATATTGTGTATGTAAGTGAATCAACATCAATAAACATTGGAATCTAAGCGACCTAATGATCTACAATGGATTTTCAGAGATGACCATGGAGGCGTCAGCCACATAACACCTGGGACCTAGACAAAAAATCTGAAAAAACTCGGGGAGATTACAACGCACCCGGAGTTTTCTGTCCTGAACACGACGGAATCTGGTATGTTTGTTGGTTTCAAGCCACTCCCAACAAGAAGAAAAGCTTCAGTTTGTCAATCTTCATTATATACTATTTTGGTAGGATTTTATTTTCTATCTTGTTGGGAGCTACTTTTCCGAGGGATTTTGTGAGAAAACCCATGAATGGGTAAAAGACCATGGTTTCCAGTTAAGATGTTCCGTGTAAGTCATTTCATGACTGGGATGATTGCTGAGGCAGATATGGATCCCAAAAATGTTAATAAAACCCCTTTGCATGTCTTCAATTGAGGCACTCTTTGTCTTGATTTTCTGTGGCTTTTTCTCCGTGTTCCTTAGTTTGTCTCTGCTGTTTTAATTCAGGCTCTTAGTCTTTGATTGTGTTTTTTTTCTCCGTTTTGGCTGGATCGCTGTGGCTTAGAGGAAGCACATAAATGAACACCTATATTCAAAGGAGTTCTCAAAGAAAACTGCGTTTATGCCCATAAAACCCTCTTTCAATTTGAACACAATTTGCCATTGAAAGTTGTGTTTCTGTTAGGCCATTTGGAGGTTTCCTGGCAATTATTTTTTCTCGCCTGGTTTGGAAGCCCATCGTGTGCAAACCGACGAAGCAAAAGCGGTCCAGAAATGGAAGGTTCCAAAAACGTCTTCCATCAGGCTGCCTGCCGAGACGTGCAGAATTCATCGGAACTTGTCCCAACAAGCGCGGGCACTCCGCTAGGGAATAGGGTGGATAGAAAAAAACAAATGTGGAATGTCGACTTCATTGACAAATTATGAGAACATAAAGGACATGTCACAAATGTCCATTCTAAGCAGAGTGTAAGGGATCAATGTTGGCAACCATGGGAGAAATGATGAGGAAATCAGGATTCCAAACATGGAATCACTGCTGGAATCGCTCGCGCCATTGGTCATGGAAAAAAAACAATACAAAACACAGGAGACAAAAAAAAACTCCAAAGTATTCTAGACATTCGATCTAGACATATGGCATATATAAGCCTCCAAAATAGTTTATATTATATATATGGTCCATATATCATATATTATATCTATATATGGTTTTTAAATATATATATATATGTATATATATATAGAATATGATAGAATATATAAAATGAATAAAATACTGAATATCTATTCATCTTATATATTAGTTATATATTCTATCTATTCATGATCATTTATTCATCATCAGCTACCGCATCACTACGGTGCCACCCTATGGCGCCCTATGGCCGGCGCCCTGAATTTCAGGTGCTGACCAAGATACCTCTGAAAACGCTGGAAGAAGCAATCACAAATATACAATACCTCAAGGATGCTGGCTGATGTGCGATATCATATCTGGGTAAATGATCATATTTCACTCATCTGAATTATATTGCGGCCATAAAAGGGGATGAGTTCCCTAAAATTAACCATGATTCCAGGCTTCGGGAGAACAGTGAGGTCGTTATAATTTACCCAGTGAACACCTGACGGGCCTTAACAGTACCTGCTCAACAAGCAACGGTCGAACCGAATATTGCTCTCATCTACACCGAACCATCGAAGGCGGTTGCCCCACCGTAGATAGCACAGCCGTGACTGGAAATATATGGAAATATACATATTATATACATATACATTATATACGTATACTGCATATATATATATATTGTATTATATATATTATGTTATAAATATTATATATATATATATGAATTATTGTATATGTTTTGGTATATATTATATTATATATAATGTTATAAGTATTGTATATATACATATTATATTATATTATATGATATTATATTATATAATATTATATATTATATTATATTATATTATATATTATATATTATATTATATTATATATTATATTATATTATATTATATATTATATTATATTATAATATTATATTATATTATCATAATATATTATATTAAATTAAATTATACTATATTATATTATATTATATATTATATTATATTATTTTATTTTATTTTATATTATATTATATTATATTATATATTTTTATTATATTATATATTAAATTATATTATATATATTATCATATTTATATATATATTGAATATGTGGGTGTTTTAGTGTTTCATCATAAACCGTCGTTAGATAGCCTGTGTCTTATACAGGGCTGATGTTCAAGCAAGTGGCTAGCACAAAGTTTGCAAAGTCATGAAAATTCAACCAGAAGTTACAGGACAACTACGAGGACAACGAAGTCTGGTAGATTATGTGTACCAAACCTCCCAGCATGTCTCTAAGGTAATTCTCAAACAAATGAGGCCTTGTTTCTTGATGTTTTTTGCTGCTTGACCCTCATCAACCACTTTTTTCTGAGCTTATGAAACCAAATACCAGTTACACTAATTATCAGACACGTTCTAGACGTGAACAATAAATAACGCTATTAAGGTTTACAATGGTTCTCATCAGGTTTAGGGGATAGGCTTTAGGGTTGACCATGATCGTGGTGATGATGATGATCATGATCATCATCATCATCATCACCATAGATGTCCTTTTCCCTTTGGTTGGTTGATGAAAAAAGAGGGGGTTGTTTACCCCTTTACCCTCATTGAGACTCCGGGGAGGCCCCAGGCTCTTGCCAGGTGATCCCATATTCTCCCATGAAATCTGTGCCCATCAAAAATGGGGGGGTTCCTAAACCATTGGGGATCCCCAAAATAGTTAGTTTATAATGGGAAAAAAACATTATATACTGGTTGGTGGTTTTAACCATCTTGAAAAATATTAGTCAATGGGAAGCATTATCCCATATATTATGGAAAATAAAAAATGTTTGAAACCACCAACCAGCATTAAAATAGATGATTTGGAGGTACCCCCATGTCAGGAAACCTCCACATGGTCTGTGGCTTTCCCAGCTTTCCCCCTCAAAAAGGTCCACGTTGCATCTCTGAGCAAAGTGCTGACAGCGTTGTACCCGCTATCCACACGGCATATCCTGGGAAAAGCGAATGCTTAGATCGTCCATCTTAAATGGCTAGGATTACGTCAAGTTCGGTACAAACTTGGGAATTTCACCAAAATCAAAGGAAAGCAGCAAAACTGGTTGGTGCTATACCTACCCCTCTGACACATATGAGCTCGTCAGTTGGGATTGTCGTCCCCTATGGAAAAATAAAAGTCATGTTCCAAACCACCAACCAGAAAAGCCGAATTTCACCCAGCACAATGGTGATGTACCCAACAAGAATGGGATTGGCCCACCAGAAAGGCTAGGGCCCTAGGCACTCACTTTGGACACCGCTCCACAACTCACTTTGCACACCGCCAACAAATTCACATTGAGCACCAGCCATGTTTAGAGCCTTTTAGGGTTAAAAAAGGGGTAGGTGGAGGTGTCGCCCACCAGAAATGGGGATCTAACCCACAAGACTAGAATTTCATGGGTTTTTTTCGCCCAGCAAACTGGAAATTGAACCCACTGAAACCGGGATAGCCTCCAGCAATCGAACCTGGCATGTTTGAAAACTCCCATTTTGAATAGGAGGCACCGATTAGTATAAATAGGCTGATTTTCTGGATGATGCTCCGTTACCAGGATTCAATACTAAGAATGGCAGGGACATGGTGGTGGCCTATCATCGAAATCCCATGTATTCTCTATATAGTTCTCTCAAAAAAAACACGTGCGGGATGTGTCCAATTCCACGAAAAAGAAGGGAATGGTCTGGTGGATCCTCAGCGGTTTTAGCCAGCAAGGCACGTTTTTCGTGGATCCTCAGCATCACCTGGACAAGTTTTCTTCATGAGTAGATTGAAAAACACAACCCAGGGGTCAAAAACCTACCCCAGAATAGTAACTCTGCGTTCTTTTCAGAAATAATTTAGCTCAGTTCCAACTTATCACAAATTCAACGACATGTTGAGGTCGAAATATCTGCAATCTCTGCAAAATTCTGGTCGAAATATCACTTTGATCTTCGATGGACAAGAAATGGGCTGAAAATGGCATCAAAGTCCCATGTTGTTTATCATCATATGGTTTATATGTTCCCTATTCAAATTGCCATTCATGGCATAAGTTTTATGGTAATTTAACATACCTATAAAAAATGTCTAATTCGCAGATGATTTATGGTGATGTGCCTATTAACATGTTGAATTTCAATAGTTATATTAAATTACCGGAGGGTATGGGGTACTGTATCCAACCCGTTTTCAGACACACCCATATCAACTATATAGTGTTTCAATCCCTATTTTGCTGGTAAGTGGGCCACACTTTAACTGATTGATCTCCACAGTGTCCAATATATTGTAATTTGTATTGTATCCCAATACACCCCATTTCTGTTGGTTAAATGAAATTCTGTGTTGGTGAAAAAAACGAGTTCTTGATTGGTGAAATCCCCGCATGTTTTCATGAACCATGTGGCTTTGTCCAACAGGACATAGCCCCAGAAAACATTGGGAGAATGATGGCAATCTTTTGGATCTGGCGCAAATCCCCCAATGGTTATCATATTTTGGGTGACTTGGAACCCACATATGACTGCTTCATTCCAAACTTTATAAATCCCAGACTTCTTGGTATCCAATTTCAATCCATTTCATACCATGTGGCCCCCCCCAGTTTTTAGATGGTTTATAAACCCATGAACTATAGTTCTTTGCGTATCATAAACCCAAACGTGAAATTGCAGTTGTAAACGCACCAACTGAACGCTATCGTGTTATCGTAAACGGGGGCCCCACGTTGCTGCGTGAAATCAGCTACTGTACATCCCGTCTGGGTATCATATTTCACTAAGCTGAAGAGTTCGGCACCTTTAATTCCATTGCTTAACCATCATTTTCCCTATGAAAAATTGTCATTCTTCAGACAGACCCCTGGGTAAATGATAACATTTCACTCATCTGAATTATATTGCGGCCACAAATTCCAGGCTTCGGGAGAACGACGTGAGGTCGTGATCAATTTTACCCAGACTGAACAGGGATAATATTCATTATACCACTATATCACTATATACCCATTGGTGATATATCCCAAATACTTCCAAATACCATGGTGATATATGGATATATGGATATAACCCACAATCATCACCATTAATCATCTCACAAAAATCATCCAAGGAAAATTACTACACTATTAGTCACTAATGATAATCCATATAGAATCATTACTACATTAATCCCATTAATCATCCCATTAATTGCTACAATGTCACTATTATACAATATTAGTCACTAGTAATGTTACTATTCATGAGCCACTATGATAATCCACTAGTAATGTTACTATTAATCCACTATATTAATCACTGATAATTAATAAATAAATCCATATAATCTGATTAGTCAACTAGTTATAATGAATGATTAATTATATATAAAACTCCATATTATAACTAGTAATTAATCATTAGTCACTATAGTCCGTTATTAATTATTAGTAATCCACTATATTACTATATTAATCCACTATATTACTATATTAGTCACTATGGTCCATTATACTTGGTGGCTCATCCCACTTCGTAAGTGGTTTATAACCCCAGTGATTTACATGGGATCAGTAGGGTTAATCCACTGAAATAACTGGGGTGAACTAACCCACAAAAACGAGCCGTGGTTAGTTCGCCACCAAGTAACTACACTATTAGTACACTATTAGTCCATATATATATATATATGTATATATATATATATATTTATATGAGCCATATATATATATATATAGTTATATATATATATAAATAACTATATATATATACATATTAGTCCAGGATTAATACACTATTAGTCACTATAACAGTGAAATCCGCCAGCATTTTCCATGGCAAAAACCGTGGCACCGTGGCCTCTCTGGGATGCGTCTCGTCCGACTCGTCCCGCGCCGCGGCGATGGCCTTCAAGGCGCCCTTGGGGCCTGTGATGCCCAGCCTGGGGGCGTGGAACCACGGGATCTTGGTACATCGATATTTAGTGATTTATAGTGGTTACCCTCTGGTTAACTAACATAGCTATGGAGAATCACTATTTTTAATGGGAAAATCCACTATAAATGGCAATTTTCAATTGCTATGTTAGTTTACCACAGGGTAGTTCAACAAAAGATCAAGATGTGGTTATTTGATTTTGTGGTTTTAGAGTAGTTATTTATAGCGGTTATTAGTTCAAAATTAACAAATTTTAACAAGATCAACAAAATTTGGATAAGATATTTATTAGTGATTATAGTACATAGTTGAATAATTAATAACATTATAGTAACAAATAGTGAAAGGAATATTTTACCAACAGTGTTAGTATATATAAATATATATTTATATTAATTATGTATATAGATATTTACTGGTTGGTGGTATACCTACCCCTCTGAAAAATATGAGTTCGTCAGTTGGGATGATGACATTGCCAACTGAATGGAAAAATAAAATTCATGATCCAAACCACCAACCAGTTTATTAGTGATTATAGTACATAGTTATATTTAGATAGCATAATATAGTGAATAAGACGATATACTAAAAATAATACATACGTCCAGATATATAGTTCTTGCTGAACCAATAGCCCATATCCCATATGCTCTATGTATGGTATATTTACTTACATTTGGGTGATTTTGTTCGGGTAAATGTTGGAAAATATTCCATACATGGAGCATATGGGTACATAGTATATATATATAATCCCATTTAATATTGGTGAATAATGATTAAGATGGATTTATAATGGTTATTAGTTCAACATTTATTAACAAGATCAACAAGATTTGGTTAATCAACTAACTATCCGTTTATAATCTATATCCCATATGCTCCATGTATGGTATATTTGCTTACATTTGGGTGATGCTTAGGGTAAATGTTGGTAAATATTCAATACATGGAGCATATGGGTGTATATATATATATATATACAATCCCATTTGACATGGGTTAATAATGGTTAATATGGATTTATAATAGGTATAATCCCATGTATATATATATATATGCGAGTTAAATATGGATATGATGAAGCCATATGGGCATATGTATAAATTTGTACGTAGCATATGTATATATATATAAACATATACATATACAAACTTTTATGGTTACATACGTGGATATGTATATAATCATGTATATACATCCATGTAACCATTTTGAAGCCATGAATAACCATAAAGGTTCCACTACAGATATATCACCATGGTAAAAGAATGGTGAAATATATATACAGTGTATATATATATACAGGTATAACAATAGGATATGCCCAGCCTTTTGGGGGGTTATTTTTCACTAGCCGAGTTGGCGAACATAACTCCAATAACTACAACTTATAGGGGATGGGGTGGGGGGTTTGGCTATGTCTTGTGGGTTGTAACTAACTTGACTTCCAACTAGGGGGGGCCTCGCAGCTATGGAAAATAATCCATTTGCGTGTGTCTGAAAATCTGGTATGCTATGGAATATCCCCAAATTGTCATTTTGATACAGAAAATATGATGAATCATCAGTTTTAGGGGTACCCTATTTTCAGACAAACCCATTTACAGATGACTACCTATTAAGAAGAGTAATTGTTCATAGCAAACTGCTGATCATTATCAGAGGTGAGAAACAAATGAGCAGTGTGACCTAAACCCGCGTTCGTCGTCCATACTGGTTGGTTGGGACTGGGATTTCCCACGGATTGTGATAATCACGGAGGTTCTGAACACTGCTCCAATGGTGGCACTGTACTTATATAATCGGGATATAATGAGAATTTGTTCATGAGAATAATGCGATATAATAGGGATTTCATTGGGATTTTCTGGGATTCATAGGCGATGATGCACCCAGGATGCGGCATAGGAATTTGCTGAATCACCAAGAAAATCTATGAGGATTTAGAGCCAAATGAAATGGGATATGAGATCAATGGGTTAATCATGGGATTGAAGCAATCATCTTTGAGTATAGTTGCATTGGGATTTAAGATTCATGGCTTTTTGGGGGGATTTCATGGGGATTGAATCGGGATCAATGGTTTTACATTTGGGATTAAGTCCATGATTGCGAATGAGTCCTATACATTGGAGGAACTGAATGTTTCATATTACTGTACTTGGGGGATTCGGCATTGCTATATTTCGTTGATTTCACCAATTGATGGGAAATTGCAACCAATGAAATTGGATATTAAAAAAAAAAAACGATACCCTTCGGTGTCATCAGCTACTTGGCCCGCTGGGAGATTGCTTCCCAGCCTGGGAAAAGATGGGAAAATCATCAAACTCAATGTCGAGTTGGTGGTTGACCTACCCCTCTGAAAAATATGACTTCGTCAGTTGGGATGATTATCCCATATATTGTGGAAAGTCATGAAAGTCATGTTCCAAAGCACCAACCAGATGTTGCTTTGAATGGGTTTCCATACATGGAAACACCAAAAATTCTTGTATATTTATGGAGGTTCCTAGGTGGGAAAGTTGTGTCCCAGTATGGCTTCATGGTTTCGATATGGGACATAAAGCACGGATATTTGAGCATGAAAAAAGGGACTTCATCCATGGACTATGGATCTGCGGTCTGAAAATGGAGGATTTGGCAATGTAATGAGGACCTCACATGGACGGTTTATGTACCCATCATTTGATGGTGATTTTAAAAAAATGGGATGGCATAAATGGCAGGTAAGTTTCGCACATTTCTCAATCATGAATGTCAGGGGCCCCCTGGCATTGGGTACCAACGGGGAGCCATTGAAATGGTCAAAAAAACTCATCCTAGGCCATTGGAACCAGCAACGTGGGGGATTTTACCGTGAAAAAATCATGAAAGATATGGGACAAAAAAATACCCAAAAAGCAAAAAAAAGGTGGGACTAAATGGACTAAATCAAGAAAAAATAGGAGCAAAACTTGGGAGTTTTGATCAGAATTGAGATTGACCTGATATGACGACAAACGTGGATGAAAAAACCGTTTGAATTTATGAGAATAGAAGCGTCAAACGCAGGGATATACTCGGCCATCGAGAAATCCGTCATCAACGATCCTAAATGTATGATGTGTATGTATGTGTATGGGAGAGTATATAAACCCAGCAGATCTAACAAGCTTGATGTCAACGGAGCAATTGCCCCAGCGAACATCCCCAAATTCCCACTGCAAATGGATCCGTCAGTTGCCCATGTACAGTCCTGGCGATTCGCGATTCGGAGCAAACACATCATTCTACTTTAAGAACAGTTTTGTGAAATATGTGTCTGAATAATACTTTTGGAGCTTCATTTGAGCAGAAATAAGTGCTCGACTTGAAAACTGTTCGATCTAAAAACGCTCGAGCACGCATTAAGCAACAAAATATCGAAGGGACGCTTTTTTAGAGTGCGCTCGCGTGTGGTCTTGTGCGCTCGTTTGCAGGATTGTGCGCTCGGAGTGCAGCCTCGATTCAAATAGATTCAAGAATTATACTGGTTGGTGGTTTCAACCCCTCTCAAAAATATGAGTTCGTCAGTTGGGATGATTATTCCCAATATATGGAAAAACAAAAGTCATGTTCCAAACCACCAACCAGTATACAATTATCCAAAAGTGCTCAGTTGCCTAAAGTTTTTTCAAACATCGATCTTCCGGAAAATGCGACGAAAAGCAGGTTGACTGAGCACATTCGTAGAATGAATCTCTGATCCAGATGATAAATGTGCATTCACATTCAACTTAACATTGATCCAGATTGCAACAGATGATAAATGTTAGTGTGATTTATCATCTGTTGCACATTCAACTTAACATTCAACTTAACGCTTTCAACGAGTTGTTGCCAAACGTCCCCCGTCGCAAAGCCGCCAAGTTGGCCAAGGTACCAAAAAAGATAAGAAATGTAGATGGTCGCCAGTGTAGTGGCAAACATCATCTCTTCAACCGCACATCCCATGGCTCACAGAACGGGCAGGTGAAATTTTGTGCAAGGTCAGGCTCGCAAGTCAAGGACTGGACAAAAAACAGGGAATCGATTTTTTGATGTCTTTTCCAATGTCAGAATGTCCCATTAATGGTCAGTATAAAAAAAAATCATTATATATATATACCCATAGGATCCATGTATGCTATATATGGTTACATTTACCATCCATATACCCCAAATGTTAGCATATATACCAGCACCATGGATCCGTCATGGGATATATATATATATATATTGGTTTTGAACCATAAATTATCATCATTTCTGATCACTATTGAGCACCCTTCTCACAACTCCATGTGGTTGATTCTCATTTTTGCTGCAAGTCTGCAATATTGCCGATGACGTCATGTAGGGAAATGATGTAGTCATCACTTCATATCCCTAAACTGGAAAGGTTAACTCTCTTGGTGGTTCCCATATTAGTGAACCATCATGTTTTTATTATTATTAGATGGGGTCTGGTCGGCAAGTCCGCTGTTTCCTCTGGATATTTACCTTATTTTAAAGCTTGCTATAGTAATAGTATGTAATAGTATAGATGACCCATTTAGTACAATATAGTTCAATGATAAACATGATGATTTGCCGATGAAAAATGGTGATGTTCCTGCTGCTATGTTTGATGCGGCGTGGAAGGAGGTGGTCACTGAAGAGCCATGGAGGGCCATGGAGGGCCATGGAGGGCTCCAAATCCAAAGCCATTCTGGATGGAAAGGACATCTACCCTCCTGTTTTTTCTAACGTGGCAATTGGAAATTCCCTAGAAATGGAAGTTTAAATGGGATAATAATTAAATAATTAATCTATACCCATGATTGATGATCGGAGGGTATTGATATCGGAACATCATTTTTCATAGCGATAAATGAAGGTTCTCCATGGTCTTTCTGGAAAATATCGGCATGGGTCAAAATTGAAAATACGAGTACCCCGGTACCCAAACCGTGCGTTCTTGGATCATGGAGAAGCGATGATGACTGTCTTAGAGGACTCGGAAAAAATTCGCACTCTCAGGAAATATCAGCACCCCTGCCAAATCAACCTGAAAAAATGTGGAAAGCATGAATTTCCAATGTTGAATTCGAGCGTCAAGGATCAAACTGATTTCTAGACATCTTTTGTGGATATTCATCTTATCTAAATGGGAAACATCCCGTAAAAATCAAAAATGCTGTGCCCCAAACCGTTGTTTCCCTCCTTGAACATTGTCCGAGTTCTGAATGTGGGCCTTTTTTGGGTCTCCAATTTCCCAAAAAAATCCCGTAGCACATCCCACATACCCCCTATACATATTGTCTGGTTGGTGGTTGACCTACCCCTCTGAAAAATATGAGTTCGTCAGTTGGGATTATGATATTCCCAACTGAATGGAAAAATAAAAGCCCATGGTTCCAAACCACCAACCAGTTGTTGGTTATATCTGGATTTTAGGGTGAACTCCCAAATCAGAAAGTCCTCCGAACTCCCACCTTTGGAACAGGTCGAAGATGGAGCGTTCCATCTCGTGGTCGCCCAGCTAGAGCCCCCGGCTGCAACGGAAATCTTCAAGATTTCAGGTGGATTAAGGAGTAATACGTGGGGACGAAATGGGGTATAATTAATGGGGCTACGTATCAACAAAAATGATGATAGCGGCTGCGTTTGTTGGACTTTCTGGGAACTTTGAGATTTGAGTGTCATTCAACTAACAAATATCATGCGGGGGTTTTGGTCAAATATGGGAATTTTGAGAGCTTTCAAGATTGGAATCGAATCGGGACTCAACAAAACATTGGTATTGCTTATGATGAACTGGCGAACAAACAAAAAGAGGGATATTCGGCAAATCATAGCACTTTTGTATGGGTCAAAATCACGAAAAACTGGAAACCACAAAGGAAGTGGTCAGCGATCATGATATATGTACTAAAGCATCCCATTCTTGCGTTCCCATCTTGACACATCACGGAGCATTGGAAACAATTCATCTCGTTGATGCTAATATGAATGTCAACTGGGAACGTCATCATCATCATCATCATCACCACCATCATCATCATGATCATCATCTTCTTAAAGATGGAGCAGAACGATTTGAAATCACCACCGAAACATCGTGGACCACCTGCATGTTGTCTTAAAGAAACTGTCAACCAGGGTCAACAACGAACCCGTCACAGGCTCTTTCGCTGAGCGAAACCTGAATCGCCTGAATCCTACCCAAGGAAATCGTGCATGACAGGCTGCACGATAACTCTGCTACCAATCATCTCAAGTAAGTAATGTCAACCCTGGGTTAATAAACCCCAAACAGCTGTTTAATTGGGAGGCTACCTTTTTTAGTACCAGATTGGTTGACTAGTGGAGGAGTACCCCCTAATTAATAAACCATGGTATACCAATTTCATTGTACATCCCATGTCATCCCATGTCTGTCATCCACCAGGACCTCAATGAGTTAGTTTGTGATCCAATTCTTGGGGTCTTTGATTAAGTGATCCCCCGTTCGTTAGTTCGCTGTAGTTTTTTCGTTTTTTCACACTCATGTTTGCTGATCTTTAACCTTCGAATTTTCCACATGTTTCATTGAAATCAAGTTGTGTTGTCAAAATCCCTAGTTTTTTGCAGTCGAGATCCCAAATTTTGTTGATAAAACAACAAATGTCTGATGAAGATCCGCATTGCTAACTGGCAAAAACAACAAATTTATATAAATTTATGATGAAAATCGGTGAGATGGTATAAATTTCTACAAATTTGTTGTCTGATTTGGTAATATGGTATAAATTTATGATATACAAAATTATACAAATGGTATATTTTTACAGGTCTTTTAGATGGTTCGGATCTCCGCTTCACCGGCAGAGCTGGGTGAGTCGCACAGCGCAGACCGCGAAGTCTTCCAGGCTGGCAGCAATGGCACGCTGCAATTCCTCCTCCTGTGGACATGGTCAGCACCACAGGTCTTTATATATATATATAGATAGAATAGCTATATATAAACATTATATATATACACAGTTTTGAATATAGATAGAATAGTTAAAAATAATTATATGTATATATATAGAACAGTTATATAGATATGATATAATAATAGTTTTACGATATATGTATAATATATATATATATATATGTATAAATATAAATATATATATGTGTGTAAATCGAAGGAAGTTAGAAATCAAACTTCCGACAATATGGACAGATGAAAAGCAGAGGTGGAGCAGAAGAAGAGAAGAGAAGGGCAGAAGAGAGAAGATCAGAGAAGAGAAAGAGTCAGAAGAAAGAAGATGCAGGTGCGCGAAAAGGTAGGAAAGTCGCGAAACACTGTCTTTTTCCAATGATTTGTGGCTCCAGAGGGTCGAAAAGTAGGCTCGCTAAAGCAGCGGGTACGGAGCCAGCTGGCCAGGTGAGAGATGAAAAATTGCACGCCGTTGTGGCGCGAAGCACATTTCCAAGTCAAAATGTTAAAAACACCAGGGGTTCGGACCACTTTTGGAAGTTGAGATGTCGAAAAAGTGCACGCCGTTGTGGCGCGAAGCACATTTCGAAGTTAAAATGTGAAATTTGGACGTTCAGATGTCGTTTCGCGTGGCAGGCGCAAGGGATTGTGGACCTTTTCGAAAGTGAGCAAAACGTGAGGGTTTTGTGGCATTTTCAGCTACAACCACAACTACAACTACACCTTCACTACATTACACTACACTACACTCCACTGCACTACAACTACGCATACACTACACTACACTCCACTAGACTCCACTACACTACACTCAATCACACTACACTACACTACATTACACTACACTACGATACATTCCACTAGACTCCACTACACTACACTCAATTACACTACACTACGCTACACTACACTAACTACAACTACAACTACAACTACAACTACAACAATACTACATTTACACTACGCTACACTACACTACAGTAATTACACCACACTACACTACACTACACCTACACCTACAACTACAACTGCAACTGCCTGCAACTGCAACTGCAACTGCCTGCAACTACACTGCATTACATTACACTACACTACACTAACTACAACTACAACTACAGCTGCAACTGCAACTGCAACTACAATTACAACTACAATACATTTCACCACACTACACTACACTACAACTACAACTATTACTACAACTGCAACTACATCTACAATTACAATACATTACATACCACTACACTACAACTACAACTACAACTGCAACTACACCTACAACTACAACTACACTACACTAATTGCATTACACCACACTACACTACACTACACTACACTACACTACACTACACTACACTACACTACACTACACTACACTACACTACACTACACACTACACTAATTACATAACACTACGCTACACTACACTACACCGCACCACACTACACTCAATTACACTACACTACGCTACCCTACCCCACATTGCATTACATTACATTACACTACACTCATTACACCACCACAAATGCAACTGCAACTGCGCTACACTAATTACACTACACCACAACTACAACTCCACTACACTACAACTACAACTACAGCTGCACTACACCACACTACATCCAGCAGCTGTGGGTGAGGTGACCGACCAGGTGACCACTGCAACCATTGCAGCCACTCCAAAAAACACAGCTCCAACCACCTTTCGGTCCATCAGTGGATTTGCTCTGCCATCCGTGATTCGCAACAACCAATCTCTCCTATAGGTTTCCTATTTTTGAAACTTCCGCCACCGCCTTGTGCGGTACTACTGGTATTACAACTATGATGTATCATGTATAAAAGATATGTGATATAAATGCTATATACAATATGTTGTGAGCAAGGGCACAAAGAATCACAAACACACCCGTAGTCACACTGGAATCAGCATCCCATGAATTCCGATGGACTCTTGGGCTGGGACCAAAAAGCGGCGCTCCTCTCGCTGATTGAGCGTTTGCTGCAAGGATCGGGCGAAATG